AAAAACCTATCCATACGGAATAGTAACATGACTAAATCAAACATAAAGGTTATTTTATAAATCAAACTTTAATAGTAACATGACTAACATCCATACTTCGATAGATACATATATAAGAGCAATTATAATTGTAAACTTACTTTAAGTGTAATTTGTAATTGGATAACCCTTATCAAAACTTTTATTTTATTTTTTTAACTGAGCTTATCTGAACTTATTATATCTAAAATAAGTAAAAATCAGGTAAACTGAACCAAAATTCCCACCCCCTAATAGCTAGTAGGATATACTTTCATGACCTTCAAGTAATCTTGTTAGGACTTAACACTAAACCAAATTTTGTTTGATACCAATTGGAGTATTTCTATTGATTGGATTAATAATATACTCTCAAAAAGAAAAAGAATATACCGTTGCTACAATTGTTTTTTATTTTCTCTTGTGTGCTTTGGTTTAATTAATTAGATTAACCCCTAAGAAACCGGAAGAGTCATAATCATAAATCAATACTCCCTATTAGTTAAGGGGGGCGTCATTAGCAGTTATGAGAAGATTATCTCCGTTTAATTGTGCTGTTGGGCTCCACAATTAGTGAAACTGTGGTTTGATTCAATCATATAAGCATTCCTAAGCAAAGAATTTCGAGTTTCTTTCACTTTTAATTGACTAATTTCTAATACAGTATTAACTTTTTATTATGGATTGAAGTGCATCTCGATAACTTTTTATAATTGTTCTCTCAGTACGTACAAAGTAAAATGTCACAACATAATAAAATTGAACATATATTGTAGCGTTCCAATTTTCTAAAAAAAAAATACGTTTAAATATTGAAATGAAGGAATTTGAACCGTATTACCTAATATACCCTATAACTACTTTTTATCTAGTTAGTAGTTACTACTTAAGTTATTAATTTATATAATATAAGCATTGCAGTACTGTATTTTTGAGGATGATCGGTCACTAAATTGAAATGCTAGCAAAAAAAAAAAAAAAAAAAAAAAAAAAAAAAAAAAAAAAAAAAGTTGGTCACATAGTAAACAAGACATGCACAAATCTAGTGGGAATCAAATCGTGATTTAATTTGTGGCCATGAGGATGTTAGGTTCTTAAGCATAATCTTTTACTTTTTTTCCATTAACATTGTTCTTCAAATGAAGACTAAAAAAGAACGTAGTTTTTTACCCTTTAAAGATGATCATCGTGATACATTCTACATGCATGGAGCATTTAACTGATTCATCATGATTTATTCGATACTTGGAGATATTATTAATTTTTACAAGTGAAAGAATATATTCAATTGACACCTATTGTAGCCTTGTAGGAGATGAGGTTTATTTCCAAGTATTAGCCCACAAAGTTGTTCACGAGCAACAAAAAGGCCGGTATATGGCTATATAGGTGGTGAGATCATCATATCATTTCAAATCTTACGTAGTTTGTTCAGTGTATATCTAATTTACATCATAAACGAATAACTTTATTATCGATAATATGTAGCATAACATATAAGACACTAATAACAATGACATAAGTTGATACTGGTATATAAACATAATAATTTAAAAGAGTAATATTCTTTTCCAATATATATAAAGTACGTACTACTTAGTTCGTAATGCTTCAGAGTCAACAAAGGTATTACTCGTAGCAATCTATTGTGTAGCTTATTGATAATTAAATTTAAAGCAAGATGTATGTATATATCCTTTAAGTAAATGCAGTTAATTAATAAAAATTACTACTCACAGGATAATTAATTGCGAAACTTAAATTCAATAATAATGTAATGATGCCCCTAATAACCTTTAATTAATTAAATAATTATATATGTATGAAGAAATATTCCCATCCGTGCGCTTAAATACATAGTTTATAGAAAGTGGAATCAAAGATTTGTCTTCAAAGGTGCGGTCTGTATGTGGGACTTGTGGGAGTCTATGCTTCTTTAATCTTTAGTCTTCACATTTCATTCGAGAAACAAACATTTCATAGTTGAGCGTGCTTTTATTGCTACACGTTACATGATGACAAATGGACAACATACATATGTTGGTAATTAATCAAATAATCTTGTACTATAATTTGATTCAACTAACTACATTAGCATAAACGACCGAGGTCTAACTAAGGTTTTTTTAAAAAGAATGGAATATTTAGATTAAATATTGTGCTTTGTTGATAACTTGATAAGATCGTTATTAGTTTTTGACCTTGTGTTGGCCAATTAATTTCCGTTGACATCTTAGCTTTTATATAACTACTTGTTAGCGTACAAGAACTTTAATTATTTGACCATCATTTTTTAAATTAGTAATCGGTTAACAAAAAATGATAATTTATTCTTATATATTTCCTCAAGTCTTATACTACAATGCTTGTATTCCTTTTTAATATCCGAAAATGTTAGTTGAATTTGTACGTTTTAATAAAAAAAATTCTTAGAAGTAATGGTTTTGAAATTATTCTACATACAAATTAATGTAACATCATTTCAGATGATAACATTGATTCATTAATTATTTGACCATCATTTTTTTAATTAGTACTCGGTTATTAAAAAACTAGATTAAACCCCGTGCAATGCACGGTTGCTAAATATTTATAACGACAGTAAATTTGACCAAAAATAATGGTACGTAAAAATTATGAATAGATTCACCAAATATTAAAAAGTATGAAATATATTTTTTTAAATTATAAATATGCAAAAGAATATAATTAAACACATGTATTATTTATAATGGGTTATTTGATATTTAAGGAAGTTTATTTTAGATTTTGTACAAAATAGAAGTCATAATTTAGGCCAATTGTACAAATCTTCTTTTTATGTAACAATGAATTTTTATTATATTAAGCAAGTAAATTTGGAAGGAAAACTTTTAATAATATGCGGACAAGTGTCCCTCTAAGTTTCGCCTTTAGTAGTATGTAATGTAATTGATAATATTTTGTTCTTGTATATTTCCATGATTCCATCCTCAAGTATAATTATAATACGATGCTTGTATTCCTTTTTTATATCCTAAAATGTTAGTTTGACTAGATTGAAGCTCGTGCGATGCACGGTTTTTTCATCTAAGATTTTTAATTATTTGATTTATTGTATTTAATAATTTCAGACAAAATTACAAAAGTTTAATTTTTTTTGTTTTACTATAATTTATAATGAATTTATTAAATATAAATAAATTGTAAATATGATATTTTTCCGTTATATAAAATCTTTAATGTGAAATGATAAATTTTTAATAATTTAAATTCTAAATCATTATTCATTGTTTTACCATATCTTTTATTTCGATAGAATCACAAACCTCGTCCACAACCAACCTACTACATCAATTGATAGATTGAACCGTGAAATGTTAGCCAAACTGAAATTGATATAGATTAAATCTTTACATTTATATAAATAAATCAATATATTTACCAATAAATGAAAAATTATTGCGATATAAAATCAAATCTATGCATTGGAATTTTTTCATCATCTCCAAAAATAACCAAAGCCATCCATATATTAAGTATACAACATCTAATCGTATGCCATTATATAAACAAATAATCGTTAAGTATCCTAAATAAATACAATGTAACTATTAATTACAAATATAAATTTAGACATAAGATTTTAAAAATTACCCGGACATTGATGACCTAAAACTAACACAAAATTCGCTTGATGGGGTTTTGTATTGATACGAAATTTTATTTGTGATGTGTAAGATCTGCATGTGAAAAAACATTTAGTAAATAAAACATAAACATATAATCGTTGAGTATCCCAAATTAATACAATGTAAGTAATAATTAGAAATAATATTTTAAACATAGGATTTTAAAAATTAAGCTAAAAATTACCCAGCCATTGATGACAAAAAATTAACACAAAATTACTAACACAAAATTCGCTTGATGGGTTTTTTTTAGTAATACGAAATTTTGTTTGTGTCGTATGATGTGTCAATTTATAATGGTAGGTATCACAAATTTTAATTTAATTATAATTAACGAACAATTTGTATTTTTTTATCATAAATACTATCAAAATTTATCTTATAATGATAGGTATCAAACTTTATTATAAGCGTTTATCATTTAAATATTTTTTAGTATATTTTTTTTGGATTTGTTATACTCGTAGTATTGAATTAATAAATTTATCTTTTCCTATATTTTTACTTTATTTTTTTCATTAAAATAATTTAATTCGTGGATTATAATCTACGTGGCATTAAAATTTTAGATATATCAAATCTAATTCGTTACTTTTATCTAGGTGGCGACATAATTTTTTAATTCAAAAATAAAATACAAATCTTTCTCCTTATTGGTCGAAATAAGTATATTTCTTATGTGGCGCTCCAAATGCTCTCCAAAAATGTCTACTTTATTTATATAATAATATTAGATTTAAAAAAAACAAAAAAAAACTTAGAAGTAATGGTTTTGAAATTATTCTACATACAAATTAATATAACATCATTTCAGATTATAACATTAATTCATTATAATATTATGTAAATATATAATCAAAGAATTATGCAACTATTACAAGTAGATAGAAAAAGGCCAAAAGGCCGGTACATGTCGAACATTGCATATGTTGGTGAAAAATGGCAGCGAATCGGAGGAATGTATTATACTCCGTATACTTCTATATAGTCCGTACAACGTATGTATATGAATGATGCATTAATGCTCAAAAGACATATGATTCTTGTACTATATATGCTTTTCAGTGGAGTAGTGAGTATATTTTATTAATGCTTGAAACCTTGACTTATTTTTGTGTCATTCATCTTAGAAGACGAGCAACGAAATTCACTGAAGATAACATAAATAAATACTCCGTATATGATATGATTAATGCATGGTAATATATTCCACGAGATAGAAAGCACTTATTTAAAATCTCATAATCAGATATAGAATCTTCATATATATATATATATACGGGAGGGTTCCGTTGAAAACAGGGCTTATGGTGAAAACTAAAAACAACAAATCTCAGCCGTTGATGATTAGTGAGATAATCTGACGGTTGAAATACAACCCAGAAATTTCATAGATACCTTTTTAAATATATAATGACCTTATAATATAGAAAACTTTTAAATAACATAGATACCTTTTTAAATACATAGTGATCTTATAATATAGAAACCTTTTAAATACAGATACATTTTTAAAGAACATAGATATCATTTTTTATAACATAGACACCAAATTTATAACTAGATCATTACATTAGAACTCATCAAGCACCTTCAAACTCCTTCATTGTCTGCCAAATTAAGCTCTCCTTCTGATAGCACAACTAGTTCAGGCATTCCATCGAACACCTTCAGTGCACTAAGCTACACATTTCGTTGTACACCTTTGCTTCTTCAATTGATCAGTGCCCAGCTTTATTTCTTCCCCAACAACTACAAAACAATATGTAACTCCAACCCAACTCAATTTCATCCTTCCATAAATCCTAGCATAACACTTTTAACATTTTAATCTAATACTAAATTAGCTTTATTTTGTATACGATGGAAAATTGGTCGACCACAAAATTCACAATTTGACAATAACAACAACGCTCCGTATCCAACAATACTGCTTGTTGGTTTTTTATCAAATCAACCAATTGAGCACCAAATTTATCAATTGAACATCAAGAAAAACAAATGAAAATCAATTACGAAAATAATAAGCAAGGATTCGATGAATTTTAGGCTTATATACAGGCAAGATCAGAGTTCAACACAAATTTAACGAATTATTATAATTAAAGAAGATAGATTGCATTTAAATGAATCAAGAAGGTTTGGAATTTAAAATTAGAAGCTGAGGAGAGAGAATACCTGGGTTTAAAAATTTTAAGTTGAGTATGCTTAAGCTGGAGAAAGGAGAGTTGTCGTTGCGGGGAAGAGAAAATCAAATTTAAAATTACATTTTGCATGAAAAATGGAGAAAAAATCTCGACCGTAAGATTTGATGGGTTAATGGTAGATCACAATCTACTGTTAATATGTTATGTTTTTAGTTTTCAGCTTAAGGTTGGTTTTCACATGATCCAAGTCATATATATATATATATATATATATATATATATATTTAAAATTAAAATAGGAAAAACAAAAAACAACACGGAAAGAGTACTTTGATACCTCTCGGTCCCATCGATCCTATTTAGTTTTGCAAATAAGAGACTGAGCTTTAACTATGGTGTCATTTAATCTATGAATTTTTTTTTTGTTATCATTTGATTTTAATATATTAGGTATTTAGGTGTCATCTTCTCGTCATCATTTTGTTGTTTAGACTACTTTCTTCAAACCATAATTGAAATAACATTTTCTTATATAGTATATTAATGTACATTCATAATTAAAGTTAAAGTAAAGTCAAATAAGAACACTGAGCGTGAAAGCTGGAAAAAAAAATAAAAGAAATTCCTAGTATCGAAAACCTAAAGCTGTGATACCATGTTAGATTTTGGGAAAACTCCTCAAATTGGAGTGTATACCATTGATCGATATATATAGTATTATAAGATTAGACCTAATTATGTTAGGCGATCTAGTTTGATAAAATACAAAATATATACATATATATCCGACAACTATGACAAATATTATCTAAATATAATATCTATCAAACACATTAACCTTTTTCAATGGACTAAACAAATCCTAATTATATATTGTTGAGCCTTTATGTATTTAGCTATTAGGATTTTTGGACTCATGTTAGTTTAGGCCCTAATGTAGCTAATTAGGTTGTATATAAACCTCACTTAACGTTAATACAATACAAGGAAAATCAATTCCCTAACATGGTATCAGAGCTCTAAACCCTAAAAACTATTATATTTTTATTTTTTTCATTTTTTTATTTGACGAATCAATAATGGGTGTTGAAGGGAAAATTGATCCATCTTCTCCATTTCACCTAGGCGCAAGAGATCAACCCGGAAACTTGATTACTCACGTAGTCTTGAAGGGTGAAAATTATTTAGCCTGATCTAGGGCAATCATTTTGTCTCTACGATCTCGTCGAAAGTTCGTATTTGTGGATGGAACCATCACAAAATCGATAGAGAAGAAGAAACTCCTTGATTGCGTGACGTTGAATTCAATGCTTGTTTCATGGATTCTCCGGTCTATGGACCCGAAAATTGCAGCGACTATTTTGTACTTTGAAGAGGCAAAGTGTTTGTGACCATCTCTAAGTCTTCCGCTGAGGCAGAATATTGTTCCATGGTTGCAATTACTTCGAAGTTGAAGTGGCTTAAGGCTTTGCTCAAGAGTCTAGGGGTAGATCATCCCTGTGTGATGAAACTTTTCTGTGATAGTCAATCGGCTTTACGCATTGCTCAAAATCCCGTGTTTCATGAGCGTACCAAACACATTGAGGTGGATTGTTATTATGTTTGTGATGCTATTCAAGATGGCACTATTCATACCTCGCATGTCACAACTGATGAACAACTTGTTGATATCTTCACAAAGGCTCTAGGAAAGCGACAATTTTTGTATTTACTTGACAAGTTGGCCATTTGTGATCTACATACCCGCTCCAACTTGAAGGGGGGGGGGTGTTGAGCCTTTATGTATTTAGCTATTAGGCTTTTGGGGGCTAATGTTAGTTTAGGCCCTAACGTAGCTAATTAGGTTGTATATAAATCTCACTTAACGTTAATACAATACAAGGAAAATCAATTCCTAACATATACTACTCGTATAACATTCAAAAAATGAAATTACATTTCAATAATAGTTTAGCATGTCTTGCATAAGATCATATTGCCTAAGACACTTTTAGGGTCCTTATTTAAAAGGCCCATGGATACATAAACAGTTACCCTATTAGCAATCCACTAATTACCATATAATGCTTAAAATCATTACAATTAAATTTTAAACAATCTTTCTGGTGTTATATGATAATTTACACTAGCTACTAAAAATTTACAAGTTGATATGATAATTGTGAGAAATCTCATGCAACCAAGTCTCAAAGTCTCACAACCATGTTGATGAGCATTTTTATGATGATCACTATTGTATTGATTTCATTGCTTCAACATTAATCTATAGTGGAGAAATCAATCATACTACTTCACAAATCACAACAAGTAGTGAAGTAATTCATGAAAATATATCTGAATTCAGATAGTAGTGAGATAAATACATAATGTAAAGAAATTTGGCAGGATTGTCTGACCTAAAAAAAGATGGCAGACGTGGGACCCAGTGAATCAGTGTCAACTCTTCATTAATCTTGAATTAAGTCAATTTTACATGGAAGAAAATAAAATAAAAATAAAAAAATTTATTTGTAACAAATAAAATGCAAAAAATAAAAATTAGGAGAGAGAGTAAAAAAAGTGAGTCCGTATATGTGCAGGGTAAACTCAAACCAATAGGACTGCCTGCCATAAAGCAGACAAGTGATTGAGACGCCTTACACACTCACTACGTTACTTCAGTTACCACTATTTTATTACGCCTGCTACGCTATCCCTCTCTTATACGCCCATACTTCACTAACGCCGTCAACTCCATACTAACGCCTCTTCTTCGCTAATTATTGACACTCCATGTTTTTAACTTCATCGTCCATGATATTTTGATCTATTTGACTTTTCGCTATCTTAAAAACACATTTAAAACGGTTTGATCACAATCGTCATATGTGTATAATTATAAAATCTAGATAATAATAAAATATATAATGAGGGAAATTCAATAAAATTTCACTTGAATATATTATCTCTTATACATTTAACGGTATTTTATGATCAAAGTTTTTTAGTTTGATCTAATTTTTGTAATAATAAGGTATTGCAAAAATCTGGGGACAGAGGAAATACACTTTAAGCTAAGCGACACATGAGTTTATGTGAATTAGTTGACTTTAATACTGTAGAATCATAAGGAGTAAGATATAAATGGAGATATTTGGGGTATTAAAAATTATAATAAACATATAGTGGAGGATATAGTTTATAGAAGGCTGGAATGAGAGAGGCGATAAATAATAGAATAACTAGTTTTTTAGCCCGGGCAATGCCCCGAGTTATTACATGTTATTACAGTTATTGTGAATGGTATTTAAGATACATATTAAGACATGTATTACAATAATAATTTGGCTATTAAAGACACATACTTCCTCTGTTTTTTTTTTAGTTGCAACACTTCTCTTTTCACACTTATCGATGCATGATTTCAATTGTTAATATCTTTAATTACCAATATGTAAATATTATAAACATTCGACATTAAAAATAGTATAAATCGAGACGAATATAACAATATCCCACATGACTATATTTTTGCATAGCTATAAATCTTCAAAGCTAGTTAAAGTGAAGCACATGAATAGTGTAAAAGTCAAATTGTTGCAACTATTAAAAAACGGAGGAAATATATATTAAGACATACTTCGTAGTTCAATGGTTAACTTCCTACCAGCTAACCTTGAGATCAAGAGTTCAAACCTTTTATAAATCATGTTTCTAATTTTTTTAATTGATGTGTAATAATATATATGGAATAGTAGCCAATAAAGAAAGTCGGGAGAGTGCCACGTGGCATTTAGACTTAATTCGAAGCGCTTTGGAGAGTACCACGTGCCATGTGGACTTGATTCGAGACGCTTTTTAATATATAATATAGATAGAGGCAAAAGAAAATATATTTTAAAAATGTATGGTATCATTTTGCCAAAATAAAGTGCAACGCTAAAAAAAACGGCCGCATTAGAAGAGTGTAATCATTAATTCCATTGATTAACACTTGTAATTCAGACTTGAAAAAAAAATCCCCCTAAGCTAAATAGACGTGGAATTCAATTAGATCAATAAAAATCATTATCATCTCGGTATCCCCTAAGTTAATTGTTATTTTTCTTATGGTTTAAATTCAATTTGGGTATGTTAAAATATTATTAATAAATAAAATTCAATTGGGGGTTGGGTTGTGGAGGAAGAGAAAAAAGACACTAAGATTGTGTTTTTTCATCTTAATTAAACTTTATTATATTTTGTGTTTGATTGGTTCAGTTTTTTACTGATTTCCCCTTGTACTTACACCTAAATTAATATGATTTAGATATGATTTGACCAGTTTGCCCTAAAAGCCGATTAAGTGTTGTATATAAGCAATAAATATGTATCATTAGATTGTATACATTTAGGGCTTGTTCTGATTTACTGAAAACAACTTAACTGAACTGATTGAGACAGAACTGAACTAAACTAGATTGAATAGAGCTGAAATGAATTGTTTACGAGAGAAGGAAATTAGGAACTGAACCGATTGAAGTTGAACTGAACTGAAATTAAACTGAACAGAACAGGCCTTTAGAAACTTATAGCAACAACATGCATAAATCAATGTAATTTATATTTAGGGATTCTCAAACTTCTCCTTTTAATTAACTTCTTATGAGCAGAACATTTTCCTACCTATTTAAATTTTAAGATGAAGTACAGGTGCCATAAAACTTAGGGGCCGTTTGGTTTGCACGGGGTAAACGGAATGGAATGAACAAAGGGAATGAAATGGAATGGAATGAAAATCCCTTAAATGTAGTATGTTGTTTGGTTGTAAAAAAACAATGGGAATCACTAGATTCACCACCACCACACACCCTCACTGCATTTTCGAAGGTTGTGGTGGCTGGACGAGACCCTAAACCCCATCCCTACCCCTCGCCGCTCATCCCTAATCCCTCGACGCTCAGACCTAACCCCTCCAACTACACGGTGGTCGACTTAGAAGGGTTTCTAGGGTCGGGGTGGTATTTTCGAGGAGAGGGGGTGGCGTTTTCAAGGGCTATGCGTGGGTGTGGGGAAGGTTTTCCGGGGAGGGAAGGTAGTTTCAAGGGGCGGCGAAGGGTTAGGGAGGGCGGTGACTGGTGCGACGTGGGGATGGCCGGGATTAGGGAATTTTTTCGAGGGAGTTGAGGGATGGCTGGCGAGGGGTGGGGGAGGTACGGCGAAGGGTAGGCGAGGGTGCGATGGTGCAGTTTTCTGGTGATGTGGGTAGGTAGGAGGGTGGTGGTATGGTGGTGTGGTGGTGGCCAAGGAATGGAATGGAAATACCTTAGGGGGGTGGGGAATGAGCTTGGAGGGATTTGGGGGGAATGAAGGGGGAAAGGGGAAATGGAAAAGTGGCCTAACAAACAACAACAAAGGGAATGATTCCCGTCGATTCCCATTCCCTTTGTTAAATACCCCAAACAAACGACCCCTTATTATACAAAGTACTGTACTGACAATAACGAGATCATTTTTGCTCATGAGTATATTTTTAAGGATATTCACCCTTTTATAGATAGCAAATTTCCTTCTTCTTTTTATTTATTTATTTATTTTTAATTTTTTTTTTAATTTTTAAAAAACCTCATGATAGATTAACATTCATTCTTGCAAAAAGCCAAAAAGACGTTCCTAATCTAATTTCTATATCTTACCTTTTTAATTTTGAGTATATTTTCAAGGTGAAGATTACGTAAATTTTTGTGAATCTATTAATCGAGTTTAATTTTATTCCTGATGCAAATCAGCAAATCAAATAATGTGACTTTTGTTTAGTAGTCGTAGAGTAAAGACTGCAAGAATGGGTTGCATGTGCTAAAATGGGTAGCATTAGTTTGTTAACACTAAAGCCTTGTTTAGTTCAACTTATTTTTACTTATTTCAAAAAAAATAAGTTCAGATCAGATTAGATCATCGTTTTATGTGCAATTTTTTATCGCTGATAACTTTAATTCCGTAATGAAAAAATTATGAAAATTACATATTAATAAAATACACATTATTACGAATCTAATAAGATGCCACTTGATATATTTTTTCCTTACAGATTATCGTACACTTTAGGTTAAAGTTTGGTCAAATCAGACAATAAGATTAAATCAGATCAGATTAAATCAGATCAGATAAGTTGAAATAATAAAACATAAGGTGAACTAAACAAAACCTAAGCTAGTGTTGTGGGAGTATACAATTACACTGTGTACACCTTCGAAAGAGTATCTCAATTTAATTCCATGAATGCCCAAATCCGCCATTTCCACGCGCGCCACAAACAAACTCTTCGCCTTCCACACTTCCCCCCGTACTATGTGGTCCCCTTTTTTAAATTTTTATTTTTAACGGTTTTATATTATTAAAGTGGACTCAATCGGTCCATTTCAATTTTAAAATGAACGATCCACTTTTTTGATATTGGTAAAAATATAAAATACTACTCCGAGTTTTTTATTTTTTTTTATTTTTTTTTATTTTTTATTTTTAATGTGAAATTAGATACTCCTTCTGTTCTATAATACTTAGGATATTGGGGTGGACACGTATTTTAAAAAAAATTATAAGTAGATCTATTTAAAACAACTATAAGTGGGTCCATTTAAAACATTTGTTTATTGTATAAAAGATTCTCTTTTGTATTTTTATATTGCAAGAAAACAACAAGTGGGGTGAGAGTGGGGTAGGTGAGGAGAGAGAAAATCATTTTTTTTATTAGTTACCCATTCCATATTTAGTAATGTGTCAAGTATTGTAGGACGGACAAAAATAAAAATTGTGTCAAGTACAATAGGACGCAGGGAGTATGAGTAATGGAATAAATCTGTCCATGTCTAATTTCAACTCATATAGTACTTTGTATTTCAATTACTAGTTTAGGACATGATAATTAAGGTAATGTTAATGTTGGTGAAATTTTGTATTATGTCACACTATCACCCTTCCTAAACCATATATTTTGTAGATCAAAATAGTATACGTTTGATTTCGTGTGTTTATTTTACTTAGCTCTTGTTATCATACAATTTGGGTAACATTCATGTTAAAATATTTTCGTATTATCTTCAATGGTCGATGTTGATACATATGTTTACTGTTTGTTACCGGTGTCACCCTAAGCGTATTTTATACTCGTATTAAAAAATACTATTGTCATTGTACTTTGTATATCTATTGTCTATTATGGTCAGGGAGTACAATTTTAGATTAGAGCGGGATAATCAAAGTAAAATATTAATGTTGATGAATTTCTACAATTTGTCACAAAGTTATGCCTTAAACCATGCATATATTCCTTTACTTATCCTTATATTTATTTCATACATTTAGTTTACTTGTATAGACATGATAATTGGGGTTAAGCCTTTTCTCAAACTCTCACACTATCAACCTTAACCATAGTCAAGTATTCCTCAATTTATTTTTATTTTTTTTATGAAGAAAAAGTATTCCTCAATTTAACTAGTTAGAGTAACATTAATGTTGATATTTGTTTGCTATCTATAATCATATCACCTTTTTAACCATATAACAAAAACGCCATCCAATCTGATACACTCCATATAACGCGATCCAATATGTTTAGTACAAGTTAATTGGGATAATGTTAATGTTAATGTTAAAATAATATCCGTCTTTTTTCCCGTTGTCACTTTTTCTTAACCATAGTTAAATACGAAGTATCCTTTAATCTAACCAATTACGAGTGAAGTGAGTAGAATAAAAGGACAAGGTGAAAGTGGTTTTTGCGATTTGGTAAAAAAAAAAAAAAAAACCCTTGGTAGTTTATAGCTGAGAAAAGAGAAACAACACAAACACTGGCTTTTAGGAGGAAGAAATAACTAAAGAAGCTTTGGAAACTGGTTTTATTTAACGAGGTTTCTTAAAATAGGGAGAGAAAAAAAGAGGAGAGAGAAAGTAAGAAATACAAGGAAGATTAAAAGGATGATGAAGATGGGGATTAAACAAGAGCGCGCGTAACAGTTTCAGCAACGCACCTCCATTGAATTAGGGGTGCTCTTTAATCCAATTTACTCTGATTAATTACTCCAGATTAATTACTCAAAAACCCCATTTAATTTAAATTTCATCTTTTTTATAAATTCCCATTTCACTTTCATCCAATTTTCTGGGAAGAATTTCAGTTTTTGATTGAAAGCTTTCAGTTGCCTCTTCAATGGCGCGACGTCAAGCAGTTCCAGGTGATTGTCTGCAACGAAAACCCATAATTCTGCTGGTTTTACTAATTTTATGGGTTTAATTTTTCTGGGTTTATTTATTTTTGTAGTAATTTAAATTTGTGATTATAAAAAAATGGATGAAATTAAAAATAGGTGTGGGAAATGAAGCACTGTATAGAGAGCTATGGAGGGCATGTGCAGGGCCGCTGGTGGATGTTCCACAGCCAGGAGAGAGAGTGTTCTACTTTCCACAGGGTCACATGGAACAAGTACTTTTTTTTTTCATCCTCCATTATTTTATTTTTACCTTTCTTATTCTTATCTTTTTATTTATATTTTTCATTTTAATAATTTGCATTTTTTTTTTTTTTGAGCTATTTGGTTTTTGGTGTTGAATTATGAAAAATGAGTGATTTTTGGAGGTGGGCTTTGTGTGTTGGTTGTATGTAGTTGGAAGCAACAACAAACCAGGAATTAAATCAACAAATTCCACGTTTTAATTTGCCTTCTAAGATACTTTGTCAAGTTGTGAACATTGAACTAAAGGTATTTTTGCCTTTAATTTTTAGCTTTTTTTGGACATTATTATTGTTTGCTGGTATGAGACAGAAAGATTATTGATTGTTTTTGGTTGATTTCTTTTACTAGGCTGAGCCTGAAACAGATGAAGTTTATGCCCAGATTGCTTTAATTCCAGAAAAAGAGGTATAGACTGTTTGATCATTAATAATTTAAGCACTTGTATAGTGAGTATTGTTTAGTTCATGATGATGGTTATATAAATTTTGTGGATTATGGGTTGTTTGTATTTGTATTGTTGTAGGAAGATGAGTTTAAAAGTTCTGATTCAACTGTGAATGAGCCGCCAAGGCCGAAAGTCCAGTCGTTTGTTAAGATATTAACTGCTTCGGATACTAGCACTCATGGAGGATTCTCGGTCCTTCGCAAGCATGCCAATGAATGCTTGCCTCCCTTGGTAATTACAACATTTTGACATAGGAGATTGTTTTGGGCTGATTTGATATGGGTTGTGGCTGATTTTGCTCTTATATTGATGTGTTAAGGATATGAGCCAGCCGACACCTACTCAGGAGCTTGTTGCGACGGATCTTCATGGATATGAGTGGCACTTTAAACAAATATTTAGAGGTAATAACTAGGGATACTTTTGCTTATTAATTTTTTTTTTCGTGTATTTGTGATTGACTCTGTATGTTGCTACTTGGACTCAAACTCATGGCAGACAAGGATGTGTCCACATATTACTATATTAGACTGCTATTTTATCAAAATTTTGCCATATTAGATTGCTGTTTTATCAGAATTTTTCCTTCTATTAGATGAAGTGTCGGTACCCATGTTGGATTGTTGAGAAATGAGAATTCGACATAGGTACTTGAGGATTTAAAATAGGTGTACAACTTAATTCTTCGAGAATCTATGTACTGATTTATTGTTGTTCCTGCTTAATTGCTCAGGTCAACCCCGTAGACACTTGCTGACGACTGGGTGGAGTACTTTTGTCACTTCTAAGCGTCTAGCTGCTGGAGATGCATTTGTTTTCTTAAGGTATCAAGGGGGTGGGCCTTTTTCTGGTTGTAAATTACTTGGGTAACTAAGGTGCATTTGTTTGTGACAGCTAAAAGCTCATCACTTACCATATATCATGTAGAGGTGATAATGGCGACCTGCGAGTTGGTGTTAGGCGGCTTGTCCGTCAACAAAGCCCTATGCCTCCATCCGTTATATCAAGCCAGAGTATGCATCTTGGGGTTCTGGCCACTGCTCGCCATGCTGTTAACACTTGTACTATGTTCACTGTTTACTACAAGCCAAGGTTGGATCCTTATCTTCAGCAAAGTGCTTGATTGTGTTGAATTGTTAAAATTTGATTCTTATCATATGGCCATATGAATTATTTTGTGTTTGCATCTTTTTTACTTAGGTCAAGCCAGTTCATTGTTGGTGTCAACAAGTACCTTGAAGCTGTAAACCATAAATTCTCCATTGGCATGCGCTTTAACATGAAGTTTGAGGGAGATGACACACCCGAAAGAAGGTATACTCTGCTCTGTGGTCAGTCATTTATTGTTGGGCCTTGTTGATTTTGCTTGATATTCATCAAATTTCATGATCACTCTTTGATTAGGTTTACTGGCACCATTGTTTGGGTTGAAGATGTTTCTCCTCAGTGGTCGGGCTCTAAATGGCGGTCACTGAAGGTTGAATATAAACTGATAGACATGGCTATGGATTGGCCTACTAAATCTTCTTTTTGTTGATGCTTGCTTCTCCATTTGTTTCTTCAGGTTCAATGGGATGAAGCTGCTGCATTTCACAGGCCAGATAAGGTTTCCCCCTGGGAAATAGAACCCTTTGTTGCTTCTATTCCTGCCAATCCATCTCCACCACCAGTATCAAAGACCAAGAGGTCTCGACCTAGTGATCTGTCCATATCCGGTGAGGACTAACTTTTCTGTTCAATCTGATCATATTGTGCATGATTATGTGATTTTATTTTAATGATTTCAACTGAATAAAATTGTAGAAACTGCTGGCGGGTCTCCCGTGTCAAACTTTTGGTATGTATCGGTCCATACCAATGATTTCAGTAGTCCCAGAAATCAGCAAGATAATGCTTGGTCTCCTAATCATGCAAGAAATTCACCGAGATTCTTTGTCGACAAAAAAGATGATAGCAAAGCCCCGTCAGTTCATTCATGCTCAACACCCTCTGCCTATCCTTATCTTGCTCCGTCTAGACTTAGACCTGATCACTCTGAGCAAGTGAACAGTGGTGGAAAATCACCTGGAAGTTGCAGATTGTTTGGAATTGAGCTGAGAAACAACTCTCACGTAGCTCCTACCCTGGAAAAGGTGACTGTTTGTCCTGAAAAATTGTCGAATGAGGCTAAATTTACAGAGACAGGGGCTGAAAAGGTTGATGAGGTTCTAAACACTGATGTGGAACCATTAAAAGAACAGAATCAAGTTAATTCTGATGTATCTCAGGACGAGTCACTGACTAAGACATTTTCTCAATCTTCTACAAGGAGTCGAACTAAGGTGAAATGCATCTCATTTGACTTATATTGTCTTGTATGTAGAACTTCGCACTTACTGTATCACTGTGACTTGTTATTTCAATTAGGAGTTCCTTTTAATGTCTTGCAGCATTTAGCATAATGCAAGATGTCCTCACCCCTTTAGCTCTTATATGAATAGGGTTATTCTTTGTCAAAATGCGAAAATTCTACTGATTTATTGTGGTAATTATTTGGTATAACCGGAAGGTACAAATGCATGGCGTTGCTGTTGGTAGGGCAGTGGATTTGACAATACTAGAGGGATATGATGAACTTATATGTGAGCTCGAGAAGATGTTTGATATAAAGGGTGAACTTAAAACCAGAAATAAGTGGGCTGTTGTTTTCACTGATGATGAAGGTGACATGATGCTTGTAGGCGATGATCCGTGGCTGTAAGTGAACTACCACAAATGTCCTCATAATCTGAAAATTCCTTACCATTGAAAACCACAATTTTAAGTTAATTTTATTGACTCTTATGCAGGGAATTTTGCAAGATGGTGAGAAAGATTTTCATTTACTCAAGCGAGGAAGTGAAGAAATTGAGTAGCAAAAGCAGGCTGTCCTCACCATCAGTAGATGAAGGCACTGTTCTAAGTCTGGGGACGGAGGAATAGCCTGAAATCTGAAGCTCGCGACTGATGGGGATAGGTAAATTATGTCTTCATTTTGAAGAGGGTAGGACTTAAAATGTGCTGGAACCCCTGTTAAGTTTTAGCTTAGTTGGTGCTAATTGTGTATAACTTGCCTGATGACATGGTTGGTGTGCCGTTTGGATTTTCAGCTTGTAATATAAATGTGGGATGCCTGATGCCCTGAATGTGCTTTTGATGATTTGGCGAGTGGAAAACTTTAATTTAAACATGTTTATCGTTTAATTTCCCTGTAATAATATCTCAACTTTAATCACGAATGACCGAAACATGACAAAAATCAATATCCCATCAGTCTGAAAGACAATATTTTCGTCTTTGTGGATCATGATTAGTTGAAGATGTATTTATGGAATGACTGTTTACGAATGATGTTTTGCATGCTGATTGTTTTTTATGTGTTAGGAGTATATGCAATGTTTGGTGTGCGAGAATTTTAGTGTCAACTAGAAATGGAATTCTAATAATAGCCACTAATAGTGGAGATTTTATTTTGCTGAATAAAATTGAGGCAAGTACTTTTTCTTTTCAACTGACTAGTAAAAAAGGGTATGTGTAGTGTTGCTTAGAAAAGCTGGGAAATCAAAGTGAGAGAGACATCCAAGATACGAAATCTACTAATTTTCTGGTCATTTCTGAGAGAGGGTTGGAAAAGATGGAACTTCCCATGAATAATGCATTCAATTGTTTTCGAGTTGTCAATTTTGACTAAGCATTTATGTAGATGACTAGATGATATGGGGTGGTGCCTAGATATAGGGACGATAAATTTATCTCCATGTCGATAGGACATTTTGTGATTATCTTTATCGTATATATTAGCCTTTTGTAATCAAACAGGAGTAGAAAAAAATCCGAGATTAAAATTTTTGATAAGAGTACTTCTAACATCGTCACATTGGTATAAAAATTTCTGATGATTGTCTTGGTAAAGTTTCAAGGTCAAATTGCATTTGAACACGCATACGCAATGGTAATGAAACCATCACAGTTTGTTAGGAATTTGACATATATTTTGGGAGAATAAATAAAGACACAAATGTATGGTTGATTGGATATTTGTATTACATGCGACAAAAAAATTTAGACATTTGGGTATGAATGAATTCAAACATAGGAAGTTGCATGACATGGATGTGCCTTTGAATTGATGGGATTTGTACGGATAAGGTTATAATCATACACACATTTTAAATTTAAAAATTATAATTATCATATCTTTTATCTCTTTGAAAGTAAATCTCAATATACTTTTGTCTCATTTTATTTACTTCCGTATAAAATTATACTTCCTCCGTTCTTTTTTACTTGACCCGTTTTGATTTTTACACTATTCACTACCTCTCTTTTGACCGTCTTTTGTAAATATTATGTATAGAAAAACATATTCATGTGGGTCTTTTTGAATTCGTCTCAATAAGTACTATCATAATATATCACTTTTATAATTTTTACTTATGGAAAATTAAAGTTATTGATCGTTAAAGTTTGAACATAGGAAGTATGTGATTGATTATAGGGTAATTACATTAAAACACACAATATTATTATATGTAAATAAACAAGAGAACGTAATATTTTATGTTGTATCATAATATTTCAACGGGTTGGTTTGTTGGACTAATTTGCATTTTAAAAGTCAAAATGGCTAAAAATTAACTACAGTAGAAGTTAGGAAAAAGGGAAGTGGATGAATGTGAAAGAGTCCGTTTTGAGGGTATTGTAAGTTTGTTATAGAAAAACACGGTAAAGTAGTGTAGGCGTAAGCAAATGAGGTAATGAAAAAGATGGAGCAACAGTTACTTGGCACTTGCAATAAAGACCAATAGGAAACACTTTGGCATGGAGCTCAACATTGTTTCTTCATTTTCAAAGCCAGCAAATCGCAACCCATTCATGGTCAAATCTCCCTCCACCTCAACCTACTAGTCAATATTAGTCATCATTTAGATATTACATCTTGAATTAGTCAAAAAAAAATTCTACGGCTAAGCTATAGAGTAATTTCTTATCCATTAATCTCAATGGTTAGAAGAAAGATGATGAGAAGGTACAATTGTATAAGGTGTGCTATTTATGTGTGTTTTTTTTGGGTAAAAAGGAAAATGTGGAGGGGGAACGGGAAGGTATCTTATAGCAATGATAGCATGTACGTAGTAAATAGGACGGAAGATACTCGTGGAATTTATCTCCTAAACTAGAGAGATTTTCTTAGAAGTCAAGGACAATTATACTTTTAAGTTGGGATAATAGTTTATTTCAAATTTACGTAAATAGTATTGTACGAAGAATTATATATTTTTATTTTAGTTTGAACTTTAACCATGTCAAAAAAATAAAGGCATTTGGTCGGTAAAAGAAAAGGTGAAAATCCATAAGGAATTGCACTTCTTTTCAAGTAAATATTGGAAAGTAATTTAATTAATTATAATACAAATAAATTGGGTTTTCAGCTAACTTTCCCTAGAAAAGCAGGGCTTCTGGCATGAAGTTCTACGGAATATAGGCTATTTCGTCTACTACCAAATATCAACCCAATATATAATTTGGAACAATTTATTTTCTTGGGCATGCACTGATGTTAGTGTTGAGAATTTGACTGGTCCATTAAAACCTTTTGAAAATATTTTGAATTGAGCTGTTTATTAAATTGTAAAGGTCCAATTACCTTCTGTTATTAGTTAAGCTGGTGAGTTGTGGTGGGCTAGGAACAAAATAAAATCTATATCGTTATGTTGTTTGCAAATATTGACACTAACTTTTTTTTTCTTTTTTTTTTTTTTTACGGGAAAATATTGATACTAATTTGACACTATACAAAATGGCGATAAGTTAGCCGTAGCCGCCTCTAATGAGTGGTTTAATTATGTATCTATATGACTGCTTATACGATGGTAGTAGTTGGTTGGAAAATACATTCACAAGCCTCAAACAAAACTTTATAAATGTTCAATCATTATCTTACTCTTAAAAAACATTGAAAATTCACTAATGGGTGCTAATTATATCTATAAATTGCAGATCATGATTATATGCTACCCAACAAACTATTCTATACAATTAATTAATTAAATAATGAAGTCATACGTATTTTATTTGTCCAAATTGTCTCTATTATGTGGAATCACACTCTAGAATAGCATTATTAGATCCTTAAAAAGTGAAAAAAAGAAGAAATTAGGAAATTTAAAATGATTTCAGCACAGATTTACGGTGGTCCTTAAATGGGCCTTAAGGCCCACATAAGGATACATAGATTTTGGACCGTCATTAGAAAAAAAATAATCTAAGAGAAGGACAAGATATTACAAAGGAGAGAAAGCTGCATTTCTGTGTAGACTAATACGTACTACTTTACATTACATGCTATATACTTTATGATATGTTCTTTTTTAAAAAAAATAAAGAAAGAGAGGGAGAATATGAGTCGTCTGATGAGTTATAGGAAAAGAAGAAATATAGTAATTGAAAGATTATAAAAAGATGTATAAAGTATGCAGAATAGGGGTAAAATAGCAAAAGAAAGTAATGGCTTAAATTGAAATTAAGACGAACTTTCAGAAACAGATACAGTATGTATCTATGGATTTTTCAAAAAAAAATGGTAAGAAATCAGACCCTTCTCGGGCCATCCATACCCATATATTCTGATGACCCGTTGACCCAATGGTTATACCTTTACCTTAAAGATGCTTTGGGCCTTTTGAGTAGTTTCATTCATTCCTGCACACGTTATAAACGCATAGCACTAAAATCACTAATGCAAAGTGCAAAACATACAAAATCCAAAAGGTTCATCCCTTCTCCTTTGCTTCACATGGAGTAATAAAGGTAAAGATCCTTACCTTTATGATAAAAATATGGGTGTCGTCCCACGTGTTCACATCGGAGAAGAGTCATATAAAGCACAAGTGCATTTTAAACACTATCCTAAAGTTTAGTAGCAAAATCATTGAATGAACCCTTAAATTTATATTTATGTATAAGTTATCTTTAATTATACACACATAAGATATTTTTTTTTTTTTTTAAAAAAAACGGATAAAAAAAACGAGTATAAATTTGACTATATAATTGTCGAAAATTAGGACTCTCATTATTTCAGTAAGCTATATCCTATTAATATGTTTTTAATGGTTCCAGGCCAGGGGAGTAAAGTGTGTGGACTGAGGGCTTGAAAGTAGCCCAATCTTTTGGAGTTATGTACTTGGGCTTGAACAAAACTTCCATTTAATTTAATCATATTGTACTCTACTGAATATATTCTCTTTTTTCTCCTCCTAATTAATTCAGATCATTTGTGTCCATATACCTTTGTTTTAATTAATGAAAAAAGTAAGGAATTAAATCAAATTATGGAGGTTATCTTTATTCTTTTCGTTTTTGTAAAGAACTAAAGTGAGTCAATAAATTCATTGACTAATCTTTTCAATTAAATGAAGACTCTAAAGTGGATGGAAGAGTCAGGAAACTGACCTACCCAAATCAATAAGGTTCATGCAGATTTAATTCATCATCCACCAATCATATTATTCATATATATATATAGTTTATGGTTTTATAAAATGTATTATTATTTACTAGCTCTCCTCCTACGTATGGCGTAGTTCATGCAAGACCCTACCAATCAACTAATTAAGGATTCTTGTTACCCCCAACTTAAATAGTATTTGACATTATTCCAAATACATACAATCAAAATTGTTACATATATTTATTGAAAATGAAATACCACCATTAACGAAAAAAAAAATAAAAAAAATTAGTAAATGAAACAAATTTGAGTTTGTGTATTATTATTGTTTTGTGTATCACGATAATAAACTTATCTAAAATTAGATGGTATATGGGAAAATGACAATATGTTTAATCACGCAAATAGAATTTATCATATGAGTCGAAATTAATCTCATAAGTTATAAACCGCGTGTATTTTCATGTAATTTGTTACATCTTTCATATTTTATAAATGTACGTTTTTATAATCCCTCGATCTTGAATATACTCGATATTTAATTGTTTAAGTGTTTCCTTTGTCCTAATCAGTAATCACATTAGCCAATTAAATTAAAGTCATCCTCCACCTTGAGGGCGAGTCTACAAAATGCACGTCATTACTTGCATGTAAAAAAAAAATAAAAAAATATAGTGTCTGTCATTTTAGCGTCGTGACTTGGGACCTTATCGTTTTTCATGCACAGTTCTTGTACTTTTATACACCACTATCATAGACCTATATAGTTTAACGTTACATGTATTGTGGAGGATAGAATATTGACTAATACTAGTATTTTGCAAGGTCAGAAGTGAAATATTTTTGTAAATACGTAATAGATACTTATATGAAACATGGGACAAACTATGCATCAGGGCTACAACGTATGTTTCTTATGTATTTGAATCGGGATAACTATTTTATAAGAAGTATAAAAGTGACCAAATAAAACTTCGCCATTATTATCGTTATCTATTATTGCCTATCAAATGAGTACGTCATGATAACATATTGATAAATCGATGTGATAGGAAAAACCCAACTTCTTAGGCAATTGACTTTTTCGATTAAATGTTTAGTTTATCCTGTTTTGCACCTACACAAGAAAGTACAAGATGATTAATAGTTATGAAGGTCAATCATACACTGCTTTAGCTACCACCTCTAACAAAAAAAAAAGTGCGATGCTTTCTTCTTCAGTAAAGGTGGAAAAAATGAAATGCATGAATAAGTTGGGTACCAAATTGGTCCAAATCTTTGTTAGCTCTCATTTTCACTTTTTAATTACGCGTCAAACAACATTTAAGCTCTCACTAAATTTTTCCACTTTTTTTTTTTTTTATATTTATTTTTTTATTTTTCATATCATGTAATATTAATAAAGTAGCTTTGATTTTGACTATTTATACAATACTTTACCGACAATAAAGGTGTATCAATCTTATCAACACCCCTCTCTAGCTCATATGTACCACTGATTTTCTGATTAAATTTATAACAAAGTTAAATATGATCAATTTTGAATTGATTAAACGCTTATGATGTTTTTGAATTTCAGTCATTTACCAAAAGTCACTCATTTGGATTTTGGCATTTCATCATGTTCTTGGTGATCTAGAGTACTTGTTTAGTAGATTTAACTTTGTAATTAACTTGTTACTTTTTAGTGTTACTTATTCCTCTATTTAGACGACTTAAACCAGCAATACATATTGTGGTTAAAGAACTAGTTGGCAGTAATATTTGACAAATAATCCAATGTTCATGCTCAAAAGATCATGAGTTGGTTTTAGCTTCATCTTTTCCATCAAAAAAGGCTTCATTATTATCAATTGTAAATAACCAAAATCAACATAGGGGTAATATTGTGTGTGAACAAACACCAATATAGTTTAATACTCGTATAAACAATCCAAGAATGAAATACATGCATAAAAAATCCATGGATTATAACCTTCAAATTTGGATGATTTTCGACTTTTTTTTAGGTCGAAAAGAAAGTAGGTTGTGGTGCTTCTTATGGATTGAACAAGACCCCTGAAAGCTATTTAGGTGGCTAGAACCATCTATTTTGCTTTTAAACTATCATATGAGCCGGCTATGAACATGTCTCCCTCTATACTTAAAGCTACCATGGGCCTTTATGTGACTGATTGATGCTTCACAGCATGCGTTGACTTGGGCAGCATCGTTTAGCGCATGTCGTCTGCCCTACTTGGCATCTCTTGGTCTGGGTACATCACCAAAATTAAAAAAAAAGTTTTTTTTACACTCCCTCCGTTTTTTAACAAGTGATCCATTAGCATTTTTTGCACTATTTACTTTATCTACTATGACTAATGTTTACAGAGTAAGAAAAAATATAGCATTGTGAATACTTGTTAAAATCGTCTTAAAGAATATATTACTAATTTTCAATGATTAAATTTTTTATTTATTGATAATTAAAAATATTATTGGTAAAAAATTTGCATCGGCATATAAGCGTAGGAAAAATGAAGCACTTATTAAAAAAGGGAGTGAGTACCAAATACATATTAAATTTGACATTTTTTTTTCTAAAACACCCTAGTGTGAAAATTATGCATGATGTATTCCCAAAGACAATTTCTTTCTACAAAAGCAGAATCGTTTTGAAAAAAATACAACCTCAATAATCATAACTTATACAATTAACACTTTTCAAATATTATCTTTTATTTTTTTATACAAATCTTTAAAATAGTTATACAACTAGGTTAGAACCCGTGCGATGCACGGTTTATACAAAATCTATTTTTATAATTTGTACATTTTTCTTTTTACAAAAAGGATAAAATAAATGCACCTTGTACAAAAATATTTGTCATTTTAAAATTTTAGATTTTCATCAAAATTATGATATTATACTTGTTTAATGTCGCCTAATACATATTTCAATGTAGGAGTCCATTTATTAGTGTGCTATTTACAATTGTTTTATTTTTTTGGATAAATTGATAGGTTGTAGTTGTAACGTAGAAACTTCTAATATTCAAATTTCAAAATTGTTAAATATGGTAGCTCCACACATAAAAAAAAAAAAAAAAAAACCTGACATCATCCTTGCATTTAGCGCGGAGAAAAAATTATTATCAAAGTGACATGTGTACAGTAATGACGTCAGCAACATTTTATTTTAGGATTAGGTAATAGATTTCCTAATTTTTCCCTCCTTTCCCAAAAGAAAAAAAGGACAATAAATTAAAAGCCCGTCAAAGAAGACAAAAAAAAACATCAAATATAATGTCACACTCATTCATACTCACATTTTTCTTCAACCCAAATTACACACTAACACAAACAAACTCATCCCCCACTTTTTTCTTCACTTCTCTTCTTCTTCCTCAACTTTGAATCTCTCTCTTCAAAAAATCATGGAATTTGAAGAAGCAGAAACAAACACAACAATTCCAAAACTACCCTTATACTCTCTAAAAAACCAACAACAACGTTATTCAGGAAACCTAACATCACCCTTACATACATCAGCTTCAGTACCCTTCAAATGGGAGGAAAATCCTGGAAAACCCTTACCTTGTCTTGCCCTTGCTCTTCCATCAACCGTGACTAACACCGTTAAATCCTTAGAATTACCTCCTAGGTTACTCAATGAAGCCAAATTTACCAAAACACCCTCCCCTACTACTGTCCTTGAAGGTCCTTATAGTAATTTCACTTCTGCTGTCGGAAAATCTTCATCTTTTAGGTTTCTTAGAAAAAGACAAGGCTCTTTTGATGGTGCCCTTAGTTTGTGGGGTAGTCGAGGAAGTAGCCCTGCAAGAGGGCTACTTGGGACTATTGTTCTTAGTCGAAGTGGGAGTAGTAGGAGAGAGAATAAGGGATTGTTTGGTTCTTGGAAAAAAAAGGGAGATTATAATAATAATAATAATAATAATAATAATAATAATAATAATAATAATAATTTGAAGAGTAATAGTAAAAATAGTGAAGTTGTTAATGAGGGTAATTTCGTCTTTCTAACATTGGTTTCTGATGATGATGGTGTAACTAGTACTTCTATTGACGGTAACGGTAGCAGCGACGGTGACGGTAAAGGTGGTGGAACATTTGTTAAGGTTACAAAGATGAGTAGTAAGAAGACCAACTTCTTGGGTTTGTCACAAAACAAGTCTCATTTTTGGGTAAGTTTTTATGTTTTTTAATCTTTAATTGTTTATGTTTGAATTCGTAATGAATTTGACTAAATAAAGGTGAGAATTTTGATTTTTGTGTGTGTGTGTGTTTTGATTTATTGGAGTTACCAAAGTTGTCAGAAATGTGTTTGTCATGCTGTATAATCTAGGAATACTCTGTCTCAGAACTGAAAAGTGGATAAAAATATATTACTGTATTAGTTAGGCACTCCCATTTTCAACGTTTGTCTGTGTAAAATTTTTAATCTTCAATAATTTTAAATTATAAAAATTTAATAGTTTAAAAATATATAGTGAGACAAATTTAATAAAAATCATGAAAATTAGATAATACACCCGGGTGCATCATGCTCATGGTGCACCCGGGTAAACAAAAAAAGGCGGAAAGAACATATAGTGTTTGATAAAGAACATACCTATGTTTGACAAAGAACATACCTTTAATATATTTTTTGAGTGTGATCAGTGTGTTCTTTGAATAAAATTATATGTTCTTTATATTATAACTTATGTTATTTAACATATGTTGATAAACATATATTTTTTTTGGGTTTAATAATACAAAGTATGTTCTTTGAATTTGGCGTGTATGTTCTTTAAGGTCGTAGTGACTCCCAAATTCTATTTTTTATTATCATATGTCATATTTAAATTACTTTTATTATCGTATATTCTTTGAGTTTGATTAGTGTGTTATTTAGGTATTAACTATATGTACTTTACAATATAAATTATGTTTTTTTAACATATGGTATTTTGAAATTTGATATTGAAATCTTAAATTATTTTTAATTGAAAATAATGTTAGAGTAAAAAAAAAAACTACATTATTATGGGAAGTTGAATTTTTTTTGGAGAGATAGAAAACTATTTTTTGGGGAAATGATATCTTTGGTAAGGATTTTTTAAGAGGTGATCAACATTGGCATGACTCGCATCCCGACCCGATCCGGCCCGAAATAGGGTGGGTTTGGGCAAACCTAAAAATACATTTTTAGTTAAAACTCGAACCGGGTTCGAAAAAAGCCCGAAAACCCGCTACTTTTCTACGGGTTTGGGCACAAGAAATTATGATATGGCCCGGCCCTACTCGATTTTTTATCACCTCTAAATTTTTTCCGTTAATAATGTGTAATTTTTCAGAAAATTTTATCAAGTTTTTATCTCGTTCTTTTTATTATATCTTTATGTTCTTTGGTAATGCATGTTTTTGTCAAATACAAACATGTTCTTTGTCAAATACATGTATGTTCTTTATGAAACACAGGATGTTCTTTCCGCCTTTTTTTTTATTTATCCGGGTGTACAATGAGCACTGTACACCCGTGTGTATAAACCACGGATTACAAAAATCACTTAAGATAATCTAATATTCTAAATGAAGTTTGTGAAAAGTGTAAGAGTTAAAGTGTTGTGAGGAAAGAAATTCCAACATATATCTTGACTTTGAAATTTCATAAACTTCCAAAAAATTAATAAAAGTCAGAAAAGATGGAAAGTAGGGTGATTGGATGTTTATAGGATCCTAAGTTGCTAACCACCATATGTGTGGCACCTGCTCAGAGTTCAATGATAGAGCTGAACTGCAGAATCACCGGATACGGAAGTGCCCATTAAATTAGAGGGTTTCATTAGTCAAACACTCAACAATTTAAAGGAAATGAGTTTGACTATTTAACTAGCAGTTTGGCCATTAATAGGGGCGTAATTCCAAAAGCGGTTTTAATCCTGAGTCTAATTACAATTAATAAGAGTGTTTTGTAGAATGTTTCACTTCCTATTAGTTGTCTAACTACTTTTTTTCAACGAGTAGAGTAAACGTACTTTCTCGAATTAAACAGCCTTAAGTGACGAGTTTGAATTAAACTCAACACCGACTACACAGTACACACAAAGGATGACTATAGTTCATGCTTCTCACAATAAATAAAGATGATGTAGGAAACAATGTTGCATATTCGATTGTAAGTATTGATATGGAACTTTGTTTCAGAATGTATATTCTGTCTGTCTCCTTCAAAGTTTGGACCATCAAATTGAAATATATATAGGCCAAATATGCATGTACACATACATACAAGTAATTTTTGGGACCAAAGTTATTTGAATTGGAAAAAGCAGTGCGTTTGATATATTTTGAATTTAAGCTCGACCTTTATGTTTTGGCCTTCAAAAGAGTTAGCAACCCTTCTTTTGTGTCTTAAGTTCAGGACATCAATTATACTTGCTTAGAGTACACATAATTTCCAACTATTTTGGGGCATATAACTAGGAATTTTTATTAATTTTTTGACAAGTATTACTAGATCATAGTACCACTGTAATACTTGCTTTAGGTATGAAGATATCAACAAACTAATTTTACTCACTCCATTACTACATTGGGCAATAAAATATCTAGCATTATGCTAAGAGTTCCTCCAAACTAAATCAGGGAACAATTTAGGATTAGGTTGAACATCCAAAATTAGATCAGATCAAATGATTCAACCACGGAGATAAGTAGAAATTATAGTACGAGTGCCCATAATCCTTCTCTATAGAGTCGGTCAATTTTGTATAAGTGTTGGATACGAGTACATACAGAAAAGATCTATCCATAATATTAGTAACATAATTTCAATCAGGTACAAGAGATCAGTATAAACATTGTACAAGGGCATTCTCTTGTTACATTTCATTATATCCAAAACCAAGATATACTGATTTTTATTTATGTGGAGCCTAGGAAGTGTAAATTAATATCATGTTCCTTAATGAAAGATAAGTCATTGATTACTACTACCTCTCTTATTGAGTGGGTGGGTGGGAGGGTGGTAGAGGTTAATTTCCACAGTAAGTGAGAGAGAGAAATGAGTGGTAAAAATAAACTTTCAGGAGTCCATAATCACTTGATAAAGACACATAACAGTGCTTCATTTAGAGGTCATTGCTAACAACCCCTCTTTTTTATTTCCAATTTGGAAATCTAAACAACCAACAAAATGACAATCAACAAACTTGCCATCGTAAACAGTCCACACCATTAGATACTGTAAGGATATATGCTTATTTTTGTTATTTTTGTCCACTCCAATCATTATCAAGGTTGGTTTATGGTCCTAATTCTTAAGAAAATCATACCTTAAACGTGCTGGGGTCATAATGCAGTTTTATCTTTTCTGTTTATTGGAATTGGCGCATTGATTACTGATAACTAGAATTACATTAGTAGTACTCGTAATCAACAATCTCATCATGACAACTTTATCTAAAAGATAGGTAAAATCGTCTAATCTCTATTATATAGTATGATAACTCTCATTACATCTTTGTATATGCGAGTAATATCAATATATATTTAAGAGATTGGATATTTTTGCTCATCTTTGAGATTCAGTTATCATCCCCATAATTATATCTCATATACGAGTAATTTGTAAAACTCGATTAAACAAGTGCATAAATTATTATTCTTTGCCACCTACTAAATATATTTTAGGGTAATCAATCTTGTCCTTGGCTAATATCATGTGCAAGCATTGATTTGTTGTGATTAATATTAATCCAATAAAGGTTGCAAATATTGCCTTGGTTAGTCTCCTACTCTCCTGGTATGACTTTTCCTAGGGAGCTAAAAAAGGATACGTCGATTTGTGTGATGTAGCACCAAATTGGAGCATAGGGTCCGTATTAATGGTCCTACAATAACATCATCACACTGTCACACTCAATAGATTATTTTAGAGCCTATTGATTTGTTTTAGGTTACAACTACTAAATTTATTATTATGCCATAATTCTAATCATACTCTATAAATATAATCACTCATTAGTAGGTCTTAATGATGTTTCTGTTTTGTCATTATTGAAGATCTACCCCTATTTTCTTGCAGTTAAATCTATAAAAATGTCATATCAAGAACACCAATTATATAAATATCCCTTCTAGAGTTTTTCCTTTTGTGTTACTTTAACACAAAAAAATAAGCAAAAGAGAGAATCCCTCTAATAAAAGTTACAGAGTACTATGAACTACTTAAACTATTCTCATGAGTCATGAGGATCGAACCCTTGTCATATTAAAGGGTAAAATAAAAGGTTCAACCAAGAGTATTAAGTAAATAAAAACATGGAGATTTTCATTAAGAGTTCTTGTTGGACTCTTAGTCAAGAGTAATTACGAGAAAGCATAGTTTACTGATTTAGAAAGTGATAGAAATGTGCTTCAAACATCTACTGTGAATATAGGAGAAAGTATTTTCAGATAAGAAAGATTACATTAAGAAGCCCTCCTCTCGATAGATAAATATACGTAGTAAATTGAGTATATGTTAGTAAAGTATACTACTCGTAGTATTTTAATTAAAAAGCTGCATATAATGTGAATTTATAAATGTACTGAAAAGTGAGAAACTCTTATAATGGAGCAGGCTGCTATATATGGGGCTTTCAAGCAAGTAATACCGAGCCCCAGGAGGAGTACGAAGTGGAAGAAAGATGCCTGGTAAACACAACGCATCTCCATCTTTTGGCAGTAACAAGTCTCTATCGGTTTGCCACCAACCCAAATGCCTGTGACAAAACCATCTGTTCCATACCCCTCCTCTTATTAAAGCTTTCTCGCGATCTCTCTTTTTCGCTCCCTTTGATGAAAATGACTCGAATGGTCGAATATTCAAGGCTGTAAACACGAAAATTTAATCTTTTTCTGCAGTGTTTGTGATAGTATTGGAGAACATACAGTTAGAAGTTACTGAGTATGTTATGCTTGATTTGTGTTTCAACTTGTATAAAATTTTACTGGTACTTGTAAATTAGTACTGTATTAGAACACTATCAGTTTGAAATTTGAACATCCTGTTCTGGTTACCTCAATAAGGAGATATCATGGAGTTGAAATTTTAGCTAAATTTCTGAATTCTCTCTTTCTTCTAGTTTGATGTTACTGTGTTAGTTCTTGGAGTATCAACAGAAAAGCAGATCTAAATCTTACTATTGATTGATATCCCTGGGTCACAGACCGTATGCGAAGATTGCTAACCTAGTTCAGTTGGCAAGGTCTTTGGATTTAGTTGCATTAACACCACCACTGGCTATGCGGCTCCTTTATGAACCTAAATAAAACAAATAGGTATGGCGTTTGGAATATGGCACCTTACTAAGAGTTTACTTAGCATCTAAGTTCATAAATCTTGCAATAAACATGAAAATGACAGCAGCAGGTTTCTCTTTAAGTGCCAACTTAAACCACACGAACCACACGAGGTCTTCGGTTGAAAAATCACCAGAAAGTAAGATCATAAGGAATGTCATTGGTATCAATTTCCTCAATTCAAGGACACTGATAAACAAGAATCAAAACAAATCTGTATAAGTTCCTGTCAAATTGCTTATCCTACAAATTTTGTAGCACAAACCAGAAAACAAAGACGAACAACCGCCAAACTAGACAAATTGAGCTGCATTCATTCCCAAAATCATAACTTTCCTCTAATTCTACCAAGTCAAACCACCATAAACATCATCTCACCAGTACCTTTGAAAATAGGCAGTTAATGCAGACGCTAACTTTCTATAATTAGACAACTTATATAGATGATGCTTTCACTCATCTATCTGTAAGTAAATTGTTATTCTCTGATATAACGAACTTGAATGTTCATCTTCTCTTTGATGAGAAACAGGCAGGTTATGCATTAATACAGTCTTAATAAGTGAATAAATTTCTTCTCAGATCTAATCGGCCAACTACATACTTTATCGTAAAATCGCAACTATATATGGAGTCAAATTAAGGTATAATTTTGTTCATATCAATTGCAATAGTTTGATTAGATACAGCATTAAAAGCAAATCCACTACATGTCGTACTGCAGCTCAATTAAACCAGGTCAATTACAGGACAAAAAAGATGAATAACTTCTTTAACGGCCTGTAACTTCCAAAAGAAACAACAATCAATGTATTCGCTACAATATTCAGATTGCAACCACATTTTCTCTCCTCTTTCTCTCTCTTAAATATGATTAATTGATGACATTGACTAATAAATAAAAGCAACTGCATTGAAATATACTGATCAAGCTGCTACTTACCCAACTACTAGTTAGCATAATTTGGTTTCAACTAGAAAATGGCGTATATGTACTTACCAAACTGCCAAGCCAACACAAAATCACAAATAATCGACTACTAACTGCTAAATTACTAATGTTATATACCACTAATCACTGTACATACCCATGTAGCACTAACGAAGAAGTACTAATTACTCCCTCCCACCCATAATAAAGTTGAGGTGGAATACTCCACGATATACTTACACTCCCATCACACCTTTTTAAGCTCTCTTTAAGTTCTGAGTCTTTGCATTGTAACAGTTTCTTATCTAACTAAAAGGTTTTTGCTGTACAATTCCTTTCACCATGTTTGTGTAGTGCTGTTATGGAGGAGATAGAATATAACTGCACTAGTCTTCCCATTATAATGCTTTGTAAGAAACAGTGGAGGAGAGCATCCTATTCCTATCACCAAAATCACGAAAAAAAAAAAAAAAATAGTCCTATACTGGCATTATTGACAAACTTAATTTCTGTCATTATTTGTCCTAGTCAAAAAAGCACTAAAGCTGCACCAAAACTAGTGGCATTGGCATTCTAAGTTGCTGTACTAACTGCCTATACTGGAGTTCATTAGTCTTATATAGTCAGGAGGTCGAGGAAGAAAATGATAGCAATAGAATATCAAGATGGAAAGGAAGGTTTTCCGCATTTTAGAAGGTTCCTACAGGCTATCAATATCAACATTAACCCAGTATACATGTAAAATCGCTCCCACTCCCAGTGAAGGGGGAGGAATGCGCACAACATTACTCTTGCAATAAGACTCTTTCTGTATCCTTTGTATAGAAAGTTAACGTCCCCTTAATCACCAAATTTGGATGGTAGTTTTTTTTTTTTTTTGGGTGTTCCATCCGCTTCACCCTTTGGGCTAATTCGGATTCGGGGCTCATTTCTGGGTGGTTAGGTTCCAGTCCTCTCCCAATTTGGATGGTAGATGGTTGTATTTGTAAACTACATTCTTCCATAGTTCCTAATGTATGCCTGCCTCAACTGACTTTGCTCAAAATCTCTGCACATGAGAATTGTACAAGGAAGCCTCAGTTTTTTTTTTTTTCTTTCAAACTATGTAGCTGAGCTTACATTTTCCCCGAGCTAACTACTACGGCATTTTCTGGCAAGGTATTGCAGGCTTGCAGCTAACTATAAAACAGAGCTAATTTATCATTAGGAAAGTGTTCAAATTATACCTTCTCATATTTAAGCTTATTAAAGGGTGTTTGTGCTCTAAAAATTTTCAAGATCAATGGTAGTTTGATGAGGGAAAACTAATTGAATCAGTACTGCAATAATTAGCATTCTAAATAGCATGGAACAGAGTTCTGCATTAATCTTGTAAAGTAATGGTCCAAAAATAGTGAAACTATGAAATGCAAAACACACACATAAATTTCAGATCTGGAGCTGAAAAGGATGTAAGAAGCTGGTTACACATTTAACAGATCCCTTACAGGACATAGTAAACATTTTTCCGTACAATAAAAAAGGAGAAACAAGAAATACAGTATATCTAGCTCATACAAAAAATGGCTTATTTCCTATGAGAATATATCTCACATTAAAAGAAGACAAGAGAACTTCAAGAAAAATCAGGACTCACATCCATGATCCACTTCATTCTTTTCTACCAATAACACCAGCAACAACCTACAAAAACAGATGATAAATATTATCATCATGTAAGTGATGCACAGGTTAATCCATAAACACGTCAGATAAAGAGTGTGAAGCAGCTGCAGAGCTAATTTGAGCATCCAGTCACCCAGACCAAAGTATAAGCTTATTCTATGGAACAGACCAAGACCTATAAATCAGCAAAGAAACTATTCCACCACCTTTTTGGACTTGGCAAATAAGCATGAAAGAATACTAGGCAGAAGGCAAGGAGTCTAATTTGAAGCATCCACATATCTGATACAATTTCCATTATACATTCAGTTTCACGTAGGTACTTCAAGGTTATTATCTATATCTTAAAACTAAAGAATCTATACAAACTTACAAACCATTAGGAACGAAGTAATAGGTATGAATTTGTATATGATTTTGTAAAAAAACAATGTCCATTCCCGTGGCAATGATAGTTTACCCCAAGATAACAATTATTCTTAACAAAATTTTCATTGCCACCCGTTACTGCTCGGAAGTAGTATTAGGTGGTAATGGACATTTATAATGAATAACAGAACTTTGGTGATGAGAATGTTAACTTTAAAAACAAATAAAGAATGTCACTTTGCTTGCAAAATTACACTTAAATTGATTCTCATTGGCGCTACATGTAGCTGGCTAGCATACGGGCTGTCTATGGAACAAACATGACATATTGTGATCAGTGATTAACTAAAACTTGATTTGACATTGCAATCAGGAAAGAGCAAAAAAAAAAAAAAAAAAAGGAAAAAACAAACAGGCAATAGGCTCCACAATGAAGGGAGCAAACATATCCAAATTTAATCTTCTACAAATGATTAAATTCTGATCTACAGAAATGGAAGAGCTTAGTGTTCCTTGTAACATGGAGCAAAGTCCAAGGTTAGTGTAAGAATACATAATGACACTTACATCATTCAGAGGGGGTGGAGGTACTTGGTTGGCTGCTTTCCTGGAATCCAACATAGGCCTCACCACAGCTGGAAGAAAAAGCCCTGAAGCATCAGACCAGAAAAGAACAGTGAGAACACAATTGCCAAGAAGCCTATATTATCGAAGAGCAAACTAATTCAGTTTATAATTTTAACTTCAAAGTGTGCTTGTGTTTTCCCCACAAAGGTTCCTAACTCTGGAAGAATATGGATTATTTAAAGGGAACCCTCAAGTTCTCCTAACAATCCACATCCAAAAAGAGAGAGAAAATATTTGGTCACTCTCTCAACACTACCTATCCCTCTAAATCTTATTCAAACACAGTGTTATACATTTGTAATTGGATATAATACAAGTAAGCATTTAAAAAGGTTTTGTGCAGTGTGAATCATGACGAACTTCATCAAATTTACTAATACGAGACAAAGAGTAGAATATAATCATACAATTGATGGCCTGACATTTAAAAAAAAAAAAAAAGTGCATAACAGTATATTGTAGTAAAGCATGGACTCTGGCACCAAATCTTAATAGAATAGATAAACACACCAATAACTAGGGTACACAATTGTGTCAAATTTCCACATTTACCATATTTTCCGGCATGAGTGTATATCTACTAAGCTGATCCTTATATCAAGTCAGCTTTGCACTATTCAATGTTCTCTTCAGCAGATTGTTTGGTTGAGAGAAAAACATTTTCCCAACTTCTTTTGTTTGGTTTATAACGGAACATAAATCAGTTTTCATGGAAAATATTTTCCTTTTGTATGGGAAGCCACATTTTCCCTCACTCATGTTTTCCCTTTTCTTGCAAGAAAAATTAATTTTCAATGGAAGTGCTTTCCATCAAACCAAAGAGTCTAAGACCATCCAGCCAATATCATAATCATATTGGCACAGTTCTAAAGCTAAAGTGTATCCTTAAATGGCTTAAACCACAACGAGTGTTCCAAAGTCCTAAAACAAGTTAAAACTATTCTCATGGCAATCACTTAAAATTTATTTCCGAAACATTTCATATTACACTGACTGGGGGTTGAGTAAACTCTCCAAGATTTTAGCTCTCACCTCAAAACCTTAATTGGACTGAATGCTAACATTCTAAGATACTCGGATAAGCTGATAGCTAAAGACCTTAACTTCCCTCCTGAGATTACCTAAATGCTGATAACAATCCAACCTAGACTGTAAGCAACTACTCCGTAACTGACCGTAACAAGTAAGGAAAAGAAATTAATGTTTATCCATGTTGAGCTCAAAATCGAATTGCGTCTGATGAAAGTCCTACAAGTCGAGCTCAAAATGGCTCAGCATCACATTTTAAAACTAAACAAAATTACGCCAACAAAATCCTATCTAAACTACAAACAAATAGCTCCATTTGTAGGAAATTCGTCCTAAATAGCTCCATTTGTCCAAACAAATTGAAAATCCTGAAACCTAAGATGCGGATTTGAGCAAATGATCAAATTACATAATACCAGAAATCGCAAGGCAATCAATAAATTAGGGTTAAATCGACTAATTAATAGATCAATCAGACAATGAATTGAAAATCTAGTAGCAATTAACAAGTTGATCAAAGTAAAATTAATGAAATTGAATCGAGAAAATTAGGGTTTAGAAAGAGGAAAAAATAATACCAATGCCACCAATAATGCAAGAAGCAGCGACGACTGGTTCTTCAGCGACGAACATCCTGAGTTTCTGCATTACTCCCATTTCTCCGACTTCTCACTTTTTTCTCTCTCTCCTCTCTTTCTTTGTGTGTGTGTTTTTTGTGAGTTCGGATTTTGGGTGCGTTAATGGTGGCTGCCAAACGGACCAAATTGATTCATCTATTTCGCTACTTGGTCATGTATTTTTCGGTTTTTTAGAGTGTTACACTTATCCGTACAAATTTTATTGTATAAATAGTACTCTTTATAATTTATTGCTAAGAAAATTTATAGCCTTAATTTACACTCCGTTAACATTAACGGTGTGTAAACTAAGGGTACAATTTTTTTTAATGAATCAATATATTGTTGAACTCGTTTTAATGTGTTCGTCAAAGTTCAAATTTTTTTGAGATTTAAAAAGATGATGAAAGGAAAGTGTAAGAAATGAGCATTATTTCATCGCTAATCATATATCAATATAGTCAACCTGCTTAGTTGGTAAATATTAGAGAGGGACATGATGTGTCATGTGTAAGACGTGTAATTGAATAAATTTTACATTATTCCCCTCTACATTAAAGAAATACTTCGTATTGTGTTTTTGTTAGAATTTCTCATTAAGTACTGTATCATTCATTAGGTTGACCATTTAATTTTGTTCACGATCTCTAAATTTTTGGTCTAATGCCAATAAGCATAGGGTACTGGATTCAAGATCCTTGAAATAAGTCAATGAGAAAGTATTACACTCCAAAGAGGCAATGACTAATGAGTGTTGAGTTTGAGATAATGCTAAACTATGGAAGAGCGGTTTGCATTTCGCACTTTGAGTTGTCACTAAGATCACAGGCATTCTCCCGACAATAGTTTGTGAGTTTGGGGTTCCGCTTCTTAGAATTTGCCTTTACTGTGGGAAGGAATGTTTTTCTATTTTCCAAATCACTTGCATTTAGTATACTTTATTGCTCCTATAATCTGGTAACTTGCTGCCCTCAATGGACTTATTTGGCTTGATCAGTTAATCCTTACCAGTTCCGAGGGCGGAGAAACTCTAGCCTTTACGATATGTAGACATTTTATCTTGGATAAACAACAGTTAAGACTTACTCGTACTACCTACGAGTAAGCACTACTTTAGTACCAAAGAGAATCAAAAATGGTTTGCACTTGTCCAAAATGGATGGAGCAAACCTCTTTGACTATGAAGACAAGAATGGAAAGAAACTCTATCAAGAGACATGGAGGTTAACAGGCTGAATCAACATAATGATTCCTACTTGAGAGTTGAGATCACTTCGCAAGCCACTGTATAAACTATAAATTGCACATACATGTAATGAAGAAAATTTACATACCTTAAATGAAGAAAGCTGTTACAGAGTGTCTGTTTTAACATTCAATATTTACATATATACATGACACATACGACTAAATACATACACGACCTCAGAGCGATCCATCATAAGGAAACTCTCCAAACTGCTAAAAACCTAAGCAAATTTCCAGTGTAATACCAAAAGAAACCTAATCTTACTGCTCTGCTTCTTCAACCTTCAAAACAAGGTTTACTCACCTAAAATGCAGGTAGCAACCAACCAACTGTCCATCCCAGAATCAGCCCAGCGCCAACAAGAGTGAAGCCTACAGCAAATGCAACAGCGTATCTACCAATGTCGTTTTCTTGTGAGCCTCTCCTACGCCGCTTTGCCTTCTGCCAGCTTTTATGCAGTTTTTTTCGGGGATTGTAGGGTATCCAAGGAAGTAAATCAGGGAATCCTGTGGGAGGTGACGACTCACCCTCGGTCTGTAGGAGGTGGTTCTCCAATTGTAGAATTTTGAACCACTGCTTGTAAGCAAAGAGCTGGGAAGCTTGTCGGAAAAAAAGCTTGAGAATGTGTTCTTTCTCAGTGTATGCTTGTTTTGCCGCCTTCTCTGCTTCCCTTGCCCGAGTTTGAGAATGGCAAAGTGCTTCCAATAGCTTAGCTTTGCAAGGGTCGTTATCAAAAATCCTTCCCTCTTCTGGTATATCACTACTTGTTCTGGGAATTAGAAATTATAGAAGAGCCAACACGAATAAGTTAACAGGACTTAATAATGTCCAAATCACAGAACAATATATGAGGTATAAGGACTAGATGCCAACAAGCTTAATTGGTAAAATCTTCGGGAGTGGCACCCAAAATCAAATTCCATCTACATCACTACCCTATGTGGAAGACCTATTACAAAAACAGGAATAGGATGCAGAACAGCAGAAATTAGGTCACAGTATAAACTAGGCAGTACTCCAAATGACAGCCTCAATTTACCGAGGAGTGAACCAATGATTTAATGAGCCTTCAGAGAAACACTGAAAAAGGTTCGAAGGAAAACATTCCAGTAATAAGAGAACAATTCTTTTGCTAAATCCTGGAACCATAAGAACACAGCACAGAGAGAGATTTTTTCCTATGGGAGAAAGTTAAATATTTAATATGAAGTATATAACTTCATCTGTCATAATTCAATCTATAAGCACAAATAATCCATTCAACATTGCGACAGGCTATACATATAGTAGTATAGTACTGTTTACAGCAATACTGCACCACACTTTTTAATTTGGCACTGTCAATCAGCAAAGTATAGCACTATCTGAAACAGCAAATGCAAGTAGGATTAGATGGCTGTAGAATACATGATCCAAACTTGACTAGTCTCACAGCTCTCTCTATTTCGATGCTAAATCCTAGGGGTTTCAGCAAGTCTACCATTTCCAATAAGGCCACAGGCTACTTACTACTGTAAGGATTTGTGCTATTAAGACATTAGGATACCCAATTGAAGATATTTTTGGTCCTGCTGTGTTACATGAAGCTTTTATAGAGCAAATAGATCCACACCCTTGTCCCATCCTACCATTGGTACTTTGAGACTTGAGAGTTTCAAAAGGCACAAACTTCTAGGATAATTCATGAATTAACATAAAATTGCACTACGAGTAGTATTATAGAACAAAGTTAGAAGTCAACAAAATAGGAAAATAAAATATACTTCGTATAATAGGCACATTCCTACCATTATCTCCACACTCATTCTCCAGTGAAAACAAAGTTGGTGAGAGAGGGGAGGGGGGGGGGGGGGGTATCAGTGCAACAGCACAACTAGACTTTTCATGTTACCTGTTAGGTCCAGAAGCATTGTTTTCATTCTGGGATAGTTTTCCTTGTACTGCAGACCAATCTATTTTCTGTGACCTGCCAGAAGATGGACTGGAAATGGCATCACTACGAGCCTCACACTCTAAAGAGGACATATAAATCTCATCTTGGTCAAAAGATTTGGCGTGTTTAGAAAGCTCTCTTCTCACATGCGTTTTTTGAGGGGGAGGAAGATCACAATTCTCAACATGATGAAGTGATTTATGCGCCACAAACGAGGCTAATTCCTCCCCATCTGAAACACGCCACCAAGGAACCTTCTCGCCACCAATCCAAGAAGAATCTGTGTTTGAAGATAAGTCACTGATTTGTTTAGAAACGGAGCTACCAACCATCTCCATTTCCAGAAACTCATAGTAGTCTGTCATGTTCTTTACATCAAGATAATCTTGATCCACCTTATAACTATCAACAGCATTCAATTCATCCAATAATGATTCAGGATTTTTCTTCGCGTCGAAAAAAGACTCCAGGTCCTTGTAAACAACATTCTGTATACTTTCATCATCCATAGTTGCAATCTCTCTGACTGGAAAATCTGTCCTCATAGTAACAGGTGAAGAGGTTTCCTCATCAGCTGTCCTAGAATGAAAATGCTGAAAGTTAAGGCCCGTGTGATGCCCATTATTTGGTTGCATTTGAAGCCACCATTTTGCATCAGGAGGCAAATTACTATATGAAGGTGTCCTATCGAAAGGCATATGACCTACAGTTCGATGATCCGGGGCATCAGTAGCATTAGCTGGTCCTGCATCGACTAGTTTTGAAGATGAGTTTGAAGATTGACAACAAGCTAATTTGGGAGCTCTTTTAGCATCTTCTTGGACAAAGTAACGGTTAGCTGTTCTTTGCCAAGCTGCTCTTGCTTCTGCAGCGGCCATCAGTCATTTTACTACAAGGGCAAAATAAATCAAGAGTTTAAAAACAAGAATCAAATGAAAGATATCGATCTTATTTCCATGATGAAGACCTCCATTATATTTTGCAAAAACAAGAAGCAATGCAGTCAAAGAGCATACAAAAAGAATCCTAGGCTTCGACGAAAAAACAGTCCAAATGTACACAGTCTGACCTTCTACAACCAGAAATTCACCAACCAATATGATCACATCATTTATAAATCATTCCAATTCATAAAGCCATGGATTTATCTCAAGATCAATACAGCTACTAGGAGTCTGGACTCTGGAATCAGCATATGAAACAAACACACAAATTAAATACAAATAATAAGAAATTCAAATCGAAAACAACACATTCCGTACTTCATGCTGTGAACACCAAAAAAACACAATAACAACTCACACCTTACTAAACTTTTTTTACAGGGGTTAGGTAAATAAGGGCGATGATGTAGCCAGGATTCGATTCGATATAACTGTAACATAACCCTACTACATACAAGTTTATTCAAACTCCAAATGTAAAGTGTCATAAGTAAAATTACAGAAATTCATTAAACCAAGCAGATAAAAAATCAGATCCGTACAGTAATTCACAACTTCCCACTAAAAAATCAAATCCTTTTCTTGTTTTTACTCCTAATCTTACTTTTTAAGCACATGATTTCCCATCAATTATGATGCTAAATAAATTCCATTAATTGTCATAAACAAAAAAAATGGATCAATATTCATGTATGACTTAATATCCTATAATAGTAACATGCTCAACCAAAAACAATTATTGTTCATCAACATAAATATGGTATCATGAATCATTAATTCACACAAATTAAGTATCAACAGATCAAATTCAACACGAAATTGAAGATTATAGCACTAAAAACAAAATTTCCAGAAAAGGACAAAATGATTTTTCATCAACATGAATCTTCCAGAATCTATTCATGGTGAAATTATGCTTCACTAGCAAAAGAAAAAGCTCAAAATCAAAACCCAGAAATTCTTATAAAATAAAAATTGATCTTACATAGGCAGTTGTAAACAATCATCGACTTCTATAAGAAAATTGAAACCAAAAAAAATTGTAGAAAAATAAATTGGGAAAGTGGAGTGAAGAAAAAAAAAATGAATAGAGAAAATTACGTGAGAATTAAAAAGGGTTGATGAAGAACAGAAAGTAGTCGATGGTTTTCTCTCTCCTCCGATGTAAGCTTTGATCTGTTGAATTGAATTGTTGTTGGTTTGTTTTTGCAGTTATCTTTTACACTCTGTTGGTTTTTCTTGATTAAGTATACTGGATTAATTACGTATTGGAGGAGTATTTTGTTAGAAGCAAAACGACAATGCATTTGACAAAAAAGGGAAAGGTTAAAATTTATAATTATTTATTGTTAGACCGTCCTCGTAGGACAAAACTTGGTGACTCAAGTCCCAAGATGTAACGTCGGAATTGTAGAGGGAAAGATCTGGGGTTGGAGTTGAATAAACAAGAAGACTAGCATGGTGAATGGATCCAATGTCGCAGAGTTTTTGAGTGAGCTTAGTGATTGTAATAACGTCGGAATTGAAAACGTTGAGAATGATTTGAGCATGGAATTGTTTGGAGTTTTGTGAGTGTTGTTGATTTTGAGATGAGGTTGAGGGAGGGGGAGGGGGAGGGTTGGGGATGCCGGAATTAAGGTCGCTGGCGCAGGTGAAGGGTTGAGGCGCCGGCTAAGGATCGCCGGAGGGGCAGACGCTGCCGAGGAAGGGGATGGATCAGTGGTGGCTGGCGGTGGGGAGGAGGAGTGATTTTTATTTTTTAATTGTTAAGTTTAAGTGTTAATTCTGAGTTAATTAAATTGTTTAATGAATTTATAAAAAAAAAAAAAAAAAGTTTACCGGTTGTTTAGGTTGTAGTTAAAATGTCTTGTTAAAAGCGGATACCCTCCAAAGTTTGTATTAAATAGAAAAAATCGAATGTTTGACTTGTTTTTAGCGGACGGGTGAAAGTTTGTATTATTTTTGACAATTTTTCCAAAATAATTTCAATTTAGTAAAAATATTTTCAGTTCAGTAAAAATAAAGGGAACTGAACAGGGCCTAATTAGGTCATGTTTAGTTTACCTTAATTTTACTTATTTCAAATCAGTTAAAAAAATGATATACATAGCTCTTAGAGTTATATATAAGGAGCTAAAAATGGAAGAAAAAAAAAACAAAAAAAAAAACAAATGAAAATACAGTATAACATTAATTACACTGATTTGTGTGTAATTTTGTCATACATTCCTAAATTAATATCAAATTAGGAAAGATATTAAATGCTTATTCATAGCCTTAAGAGCTACATATAGCATTACACTTAAAAAAATAAGAGCATATCAGAATAGAAAAAATAAGTTCGAGCATACTTTATCGTTTTATGTGTGGTTCTTTAAAGCTAAAATATGTTGACTATAAACTAAATTTTGTCCATAGATTATCACTAGAGAAAATATATTACCCTTATTTTATTTTGGCCCTATTTGGTGGTAGCGTTTTAGATAACGATTAGCGTTTTGACTAGTCAAAACACTAGTAGAACAAATTTGAGAGTGTTTGGCAAAGTAACGATTCTAGTAACGGTTAGCGATAGAGGTAGCGTTTAGGTAGCTTTTCTCAAACGTTAAAAATAGTAGCATTTAGAAGTAGCGGGTAGCGTTTGATAAGTTTTTATTACTTTTTAATTAATATTTGTATGAATTTTTATATATTTTAGTATTGCAACCGCTACTTTTGTCAAACACTCATACTATCAACCGTTACCTTGACAGCTAACCTCTACCCATTACTAATTGACAGCTACTCACTACCTTAACAGATACTCGCTACTCGATCGCTAAAAGCTATCTGCAACCGCTACTTTTGCCAAACAGAACCTTTGACTTCTTTTTTTAATGGTTCTTTCGACTTATATAAATTCGTTGCAAAGTGTAATTTCTAAATCTAACACTAAGTTAATGTTTGGTTGACATAGGAATGAATTTCCTACATAGGACTATGTATCATGGGAAATTAAATCCCACAACAAATTTCCTAAGAATTAATTAAACTTACAAATCATATCCTTGTAACTCAAAATTCCCATGAATTTGCATTTCTCACATTTTTACTCCGTATTTTTTAAGGTCTACAAAACCAATACCAACCCATATTTTCAAATTCACGTGAAATTTTAATTTCCTTATTATCTATGTGCAATCAAACAACACCTAATACTCTGTAATATTTAGCCTAACTAGTTGATGGGTCGGTTTAAAAGTGATATCAGCAAAATGTCGTTTATATGAAAATGGGTCCTCCTTAATTACTGACGGTGAGGCTGGATTCTTGACCACTTTTGTTGTTTTATAAAACCAACATTATTGCACCCACCAAAAATAAATAAAAGTTGAATAATAAAGAAATAGGAATGTAAAACCAAAGAAAATCTGATCAATGATGAGATGAGATTAGCCAAGGGAAGGAATAAGGATATCATGTGTAAGCTTGTGCAGAGACCAAGCTATAAACGTACAGTATTTCCAAATTTATTCCAACTACTTTCTTAATCTTCTTCATTTATTCTCTATTTTCTCTTACTTTGATACTTTTTATCAATTAATTATGTCTCCTACACGTTAGACCATGGTTTGTCCCACAACATGTCACCCTGAGATTTCATCTATGTGGCCTCCTTTACTTGCCCATCCTCTCTATCTATCAAGCTACTAGTGGCCTAGTGCCCCTAGTCACTACTCCTTAGAGGTAAAGATATCGTAAACTAACCCGACCCGACCCGACTGTTATTTGAATTTACAGTTTTAATGGCTAAAGATAGTACTACATATTAATTACCATCGTAATTTTAGATCATTTTGATTTTTGATATATTTTTGTAAGAGACTGTTTTCTATATGAAGGGGTTGCGTAGGGTTGTACCATTGATACACATTTACTCCTTCTGTTACACAATGATGTTCCTGTTTGGAATCTTTGACCTTTTAAAAATAAGAGAGAATCTTCTAAATTTCTTTCAATCTACAAGAACAAATATAGTCATGTGAGATCTAGTTTGATTCGTCTTGATGAGTACATTATTAATATCTAACTTTTATAATTTTTGCTAGTGTGAAATTAAACATATTTGCAGTCAAAGATGGGTAAAAACTTGCATCGATTTACGTAAACAGGAACATCATTTTGAAACGGGTGGAGTATTTTGTAATGCGTAATGCATTTGTTGACAACTATCATAAGGTTTTGTTATGCTTAACTTAGACTGATTTTTTTCACATAAAATAAGTTTTAATTTTCTATTGTGAAAATAAATTCAATTGCACTAACAAATTAAGTAATGCTAGGGAAAAAAAATAGACAAAATAACTTGAAGAATAATAAGTCAAATAAAATACTACTTGTAGATCCTAAATCGGCTTTACAAAAACTGAAAAGTTGATTATAAAGGGACTTATGTTGAGTCATGACCAAAGGAAACAAAATGATCGTTCAGCATCATGTAGAAAGAGTCATACGTACAAATTTGGTGATAAGATCTTTTAGACTAGGGACCAAAAGGACCATCTTAGTTTGGTTTTCAGATTCTCAATAATACCAAAATAGACCTATAAAGTTACTATCAGGCTCCTAATAATAGTCACGGTGAAATCATTTCGGGTTGATTCCTTCCTTCACAAATAATTAAGTTTTGATATATATACTTCGTAAGAATTTTCAAAAACTAACATAGCACATTGCACAATAGATTATGTTCCAATTAATTATAAAGCAAAGATATAACAATTTTTATTTTTATTTTTTGGTCAGAATGAGTTATCATGGATTTTTAGTCTTAAGCGTTAGGTCAAAACAACCTCACCTTATATTATCGGTATATAAATTCAATATAACATCCATTTATTTTGACAAGGGAAAGTAATGAAAAAGATTAACTCACTTGCAAAATTAAGGCTTGAGTCACATGCATGAAATTGTAGATGCAAGTCAAGTTGCCAAAAAAAACCAAATACGAGGGCCATGCCCATGCAACCATGAGCGCTCTAGGACGAGGGCCATGCCATGCAGCCATGCGCCCATCAGCCCATGCTAGTAGTCCAGTACGGATCGGAGTAGATGATTATATTCAATTGTCCCATGCCAGTAAAACATTATGGACCATAAATGAAGGATGATATGGTATATGGCCTTATCTATCTACGTTCATGAAATTTATTGGAAACAGTCATATTACTACAATGTCGTACCAAGTTTATAGTTAATGGAGTTCAATTTGTATAATCAACAGTATATAAAAAAATAATAACAAATAAATAAATACCTCTAACTACTTCATTGAAAATTAGCTAGTTAAGTATATTGGAATGTATTCAGTGGCGGACCCAGGAATTTCCGACTGGTGAGTCACAATTGATAACCAAATATGTAAAAAGAAAAAATTTACCAAAATTCCCAAGAAAAATTATTTACAAAGATCATCCAAATAGAAAATTGACAAGATTACAATACTAACTAATAATTAACAAGCTTAAAATTGACAAGACTAAAATTAACAAACTAATAATTAACAAGCTAATAATTGACAACATGACAAGCTTAGCTCTCTAATAATTAACAAACTAATAATTGACAAGATTAAAATTTGTACAAGCATTAGGTTCACATTTCATCAAAAACCCAACAACATTAACAAAAGGTTCAAAGTTAGTATTTTTTTTTTTTTAAAAAAAACTTAGAAAATAATTTATTTATTTATTTTTTTTAAAAAAACTTAAAAAATATTTTGGGCCCTGGTGAGTCATTTGACCCACCAGGCATAAGGCCAAGTCCGCCAATGAATGTATTGCATTATGTCTAGACAGTTTATATTCATATTATTATTGTAACGCGTGTGTGATATGTCAGGTTTCATTCTAGATTTTGATTTTCTGATTATTAATGGTAACATAACATTATGCTGTCGTATTAAAGTAAAACCTCGTGTATAATCAAGTTTAGCAGTAGACTATGATAGCGAGTATGATTGTACACTATGTTAATAATACGAGTACTACAGTACACCAACAGTTGTGGAGATCGTTCATATTAGGGATCTTAATGTCATTGCCCATACTCTTGCCGAAGATTGGGCATAAGACTTATTTCAACCCTCCAGATTGTGTCAAGCTCGGCTATGAAAGGGAGATGGGACCTGCTCTTGCTGTTTAATGCTCACCCTCCTCTTTCGGTTTAGATGTTCCTCGTGCTATAGTTTGGATCCTCGGTGGTTGTTTATGTATAATTATCTTTTCATTTCCAGTTTGAACTACTTGCTTGTTGGTTATGTTGGCTGCTTGGTGATTACCTTCATCAAATTTTCTTGTAATCATATCGATGTAAGGATAATTTGTCCTCTTTTGTGTTAAAAAAAAAAAAGAATTGAAAGAAATATTATTAATGCAACGTAAACTCGCCAATATACTGCCGATGTATCGTTCCATGACATTTTTTTGGCCTTCTTTAACATCTCAACCTGCATTTGTAATTGCCCAATGGGCACTATCCCTCGTTATTAAAAATAATTGGGTTGTGGCTCAACTGCTCAACCTTCTCTGGTCACCTTATGGTGCATACATTTGGTTCACCTTATAAAAAATAGATTTTAATATTAATTTCAATGTTAATTACGTTTAATTAGAGTTGATCATATCTAATCAAGTTTATATATAAAGTGAAAAATAGGCCTAATTAGTTAAATTTAAATGCGGTACGTTCAAATAAAAAATATGCACCTATAGTCCTTGAGCATGAAAACCATACCTGTATCATACCCGTTTGGACTAGAGAGATTTTAGGTATATGTAATCCATTTAGGATTATTTAGGCTTGGGGGCAAGTAAAATATCCAATTGACGTGGGTTAGCCTATATAAGAGGGAAGAGGATTATTGTCTAATTTCATCATAAACATTGTCCTCTTTTATTCGTGTTTGAGGGTGAATTCCCAAATAGTTTCATTGGTCAACCTTGCTCTTGATAACAATGGCGGATCCTGAATTGGAAGCCATCAGGCAAAAAAAGAATGCAGGAGCTGATGGCACAACGTGGCGGAGGTGGTTGAGGAAGTCAGCAGAACCCTGAACAGCACAACAGATAGATGGCTAAAGAAGAGGCAAAAGTGGAAGCTGAAGAACGAAGGCAGATGATGGTTGCTCAGATTGTTTCGAGTGAAGCACGTGAAAGACTTTCTCGGATTGCTCTGGTTAAGCCTGAAAAGGCTAGAGGAGTAGAGGATGTTATATTAAGAGCTGCTCGGATGGGTCAAATTGTTCAAAAGGTTTCTGAGGAAAAACTTATATCATTGTTGGAGCAAATTAATACTCACACATCTAAGCAAACCAAAGTCACTATCTGGAGGCGCCCACGTGTTTTTGACGATGATTAGATTCATTGTATTTGAGGGTGAATTCTCAAATTGTTCCATTGCATAAATCTGTTATAACACATTACAATTGTAATCCCCATATATAGTAATACAAATTCATCCTCAAACATGTCCGCTCGTATTTCATTCATACTTTTTCATTACCATTTATTATTACTTGGGAGTATATTACCTAATATCTTATTGTCATATTGTACGTTTTAACACTTGAGGGTGTATTACAATTGGATGCGTGGAATTTATTTTAATTTGATGCAATTTATTTTGAGTTGATGCATGTCAAATTGTCAACCAAACCGATCTATTCGATCAATGACCTTTGATTAGATTTTGGGTAAAGTTTTTCAACAAATTTAGTGAAAGCTAAGCTAAGTAAAATAAAGAAATCATGATTATGAGGACGACTTATAGCTTTATATGTTTGTTGATAAAAAATATCTCATAATTATATACTGTTTGTACTACTTAATTAGTTAATTATAAATTTTAAATTATATTGGGCAAACTTGTGACTTAGAATGAAGACTAAGTGATGGAAGGCGCCAACTTCCTAATGCTCTACACTATTTTACTGCCATACCTTGTGTCTCGTTTGAAGCAAATGACGTTGTTTAATTACTTGTTATTAAAGTATAAACTACAATTAGTACACAGATAACGACCCCTATATATGAACAATTATAATTTATACTACATGATTTTGTTATTCATTCTAATTATCTTAGGGGTAGATTGGTTTAGCAATAATAATGTATATACATACGCCATGTATATCTTGCTTCACAAGAAAGAACAATCCTAGGTATTACAAAACAAAATAGTTGTTAATTAATCATCCATTGATCTTTGGTTAAGACAACAATTAGTAGGTCTTGACATGGATCTAGTCGTCTATTAAGCTTTTTTTAATAATAATATCAATCAGTGTTAGTTTCAATTGCTAGTAAAATCATGTAATTTAATTAGACCGTCAAATGAATGAAAACAACAATTTACCAATTTTCTATACTTGATACATATTGCACCATTTAATTATTTTATTTGTTTATTTTAGTTTTTTTTTTGGTGTGATTGCACCATTTAGTTGGATGATGCAATTGCCAATACAGTATATCACAATAATTAGAATGATAGATATTTGATTCTGTCTATATTGTCAAGTATTTAACTTCCTCATGATCCAATTTTATCCCACTTTACCCACACATTTTACCCAATGAGTCAATGACAATAAATCAAATTAATTTCAATATTAAGCCTATTTACTAGATGTGGCCCAATCATGATTTTTTCACCTCTACTACTGGTATCTACCATTCGACCACAATACCACGTATGCAGCAAATTGACTACATTCACTTTCATAAACAAATGAAACTAGTGTGAGTTGATTTGGATTAAAATTCAGTATGCCTATGAATATATATTCAACAAACAATTTTTTCAACAATAGCATATGTTAACGATTAATCTTATGTGAGCGTGTGAGGAACGCATAAACACCTTTTAGAAAGAAGATAAAAGCACCATATCGATGTACGAGTATTACTGTTATAATGTTACTCCATTAATTAGTAACCTTCATAGTAGTAATCATGCTATACAAAATAGAGACTACAAACTTAACATCCTCTAAATAATCTAAGCAATGCTTAGCCAAAATGTTTACTAAAATAACTTTCTTTCATTGAGGCAAAAACACAAACACATGGTGATCATGCTTCATAGTTCACACCTCATCCTCTCCATCCCCTTCATACCCACCACCCAACTCACACACCCTCTCCCACACCTCCCTCGACACCGGCACCACCGACAACCGAGGCTGCCGAAACAACGCAAACCCTGACGCCTTCATCCGATCATCCATCTTCATCTCCGCCAAATCCACCGGCCTCCTCATCTCCCCCACCGCCGCCACATCCACCGCAACTCCGCCGTCATCTCCGTCGTCATAGCATTCCTTAACGACGGTAACAACGCCGACAATGCGACGCGCTTTGTTACCAGAATGGTAGAAGAAACAGAGGTCCCCCATTTTCATGGATTTGAGATATTTCTGGGCTTGCCTGTTTTTAACGCCGTCCCATTTGGATTTTCCTCCGTTTGATGATTGATCTTCCCATGACCATTCCCCAATTTCGGTTTTCAGCAACCAGTATTGCTGTTTATCTTGTTGTTGTTGTTGTTCTTCTTCTTGTTTTGGAGGTTTTTGGTTTTTCTTCTTCATTTGCTTCGTTTTTTTTTTTTTGGGGAATTTAGGGTTTGTGAATTGTGTATTTACGACTGTTACAAGTGTGATTTCTGATTTGTGAATATTCATAAAGTGGATTTATGGCGGGTAAATGGACTTTTTTTTGGCGCCAACTACATAATGGAACATGTGGCTAATGAGCCCTAAGACTTAAGTACTATGTGCAAATTAGTCCCCTTTACTTTGAAAATTGTGCAATTTAATTACTGATAACAGTTATCTAATCTAAATGAACAAATTCCACTGGAAACAACCATTATTTTAATTAGCAATAAATAAATAATACACAAATACATTATTATGTCTCTACATATCAAAGTAGACTTGTTTTTTGAGGGGAAACAACCATTATTTTAATTAGCAATAAATTTACTTTGCTCTGCTCTGCTCTGCTAATCTTTGTTGTGCCCAGAAGCTCAAAATAACAGGAATTAACTCTACTTTATCATTTTTATTTTTTATTTTTTTCTTAAGATTTTTGTAGAAGTATTAATATGCCTAAGAACTTTATCATTAATTATTTATTGTTAGGGTAAGTTTATTGGTGAGTCTTGAGTGGAGTCTTGACTCAGACTCACATGCAAGACTTGTGTTTTTGCAATAATGTGGTGCAAGACTATAAGTAGTCTTGATATGAGTTTTGAAATCCAAAACTCATCTTAAGACTCTACAAATTGAAAAAGAATTTTGATTATTTTTTTGTTGGCCAATGATGAGCTGTCAACTCATCAGCTCAAAATAGTTATTGATATTTAAATAATAAGTGTTAATATTTTTTAGAAGGTTAAGTGAGTTTGAAGTGAGTCTAAGGATAATGTGTTAAATTGGAGAAAATTTAGTATGAGTCTAAATAATAAAAAATAATTTAAAGTTAGTGAAAAGTTGACGTGGCAAAGTCTGGTGTGTGAGTCTGGGTCTTGGGATAAACTTACCCTTAAAATGGATTTTTGGATTACATTTTTTAGATATTATGTTTAAATTTCAATTACCATTAATTTTAAAAACTGAGCATGGCTCGGGAACTATCTAATATTACTGTATGTTACTAGAAATAATCCATCGACTTCTTTAAAATAAAATATTCCATCAACCTTATGGTCTTCTCAATCCATAATAAAAATTACTTTTCCATCTCCATCTTGAAAATTTTTATTTTATGTTAGTATAAATTGATTTGTATTTAATGATGTTCTACTTATAATGAAGTTTTACATGTATGTACTAAGCATATAAATTCTTTGTAGTTCAAATGTATAAGAGTTGTATTGTATAGTGGTAAATATATAGTTGTATTCTGATAAAGTTGAAAACATATAATTGTAATCCGGTTGAATTAAAAATTACAGGTTAGATGTGATCGGGAGAATGTCTATAGGTGTTGATTGCACATATTACAAAAGATATAGGTTTAATTTGTAACAATAATAGTAAGAGGCAGACCTGGGCACCGTGTCGGGCCGTGCCGCCGCGGGCCGTGCCTGGCGGGCCACGGGCTGGTTCGTGCCGTGCCGGTCGTGCCGGCGGGCCCAAGATTTCGTGTCGTGTCGTGCCGGCCATTTTCACAGGCCAGCCCACGGCACGACACGGCCCTCGTGCCTGGCGGGCTCGTGCCGTGCCGGCCACGTGCCGGCCTGCGGGCTGGCAGCGGGCTGGTGCAGTTTTCAAATATTTTTTTATTTTTTTATTATATATATGACAACATTATAAATTAATAAGTTTATAATGTATATAAGTTATAAAATTATAATTATAAGTTTTATAAGGTTATAACTTATAAGTTTATAACTTATAAGTTATAAGTTATTAAGTTATGAATTTTATAATTATAAGTTGAATATTTATGTTTTATAATTTGTATATTCAATATTTATATTTATATATTTACTTTATACTATTACTTTAAAATTTAATGTTTATGATTTATTAGTAATTGGTATAATTTTATTTTTTTTAATATGAATTTACAAATTGTAACAAAACGGGGAAAAAACGCAAATTGGACTTTGGATGTGAATAATGCGTACTTTATATTATTATTACTTGAGTTGAGAAAATTGTACAATGATAGCAATGATAAAAATCATACAATGATGGTATTAAACAAAAATTGGAAAATGATAAAATTGATATTTTTAAAATCGTACAATATACAATAATTGTCTATTCTTCTTCTCCTTCTTCTTGCTCGTCTTCGTCTTCGTCTTCGTCTTCGCCTTCGCCTTCAAGGTCATCGGCTAGTTGCATAGATTGGGAACTAGCCGAACCCGAACCGGAAGCGGAGGTTCCTTCTTCGTTGTCGTTGTGGTCGTAAGAACGGTCTTGTGAGCGATTTTCCGCATCCAACCAATCTTTGAAACACACGCACATTTCTAGTGTTTCGGGTTTTAGACTTGTTCTTCTATCGTCTAAAACCCTTCCGGTTGCGCTGAAAGCTCGTTCGGAGGCGACGGAGGAAACTTGGATAGCAAGAATGTCTCGTGCCATTGCCGCCAAAGTTGGATGCTTCGAGCTTTGTTGTTTCCACCATGCAAGGAGGTCGAGGCTGTTTATCTCATCGTCGTCCATGCCTTTGGTGAAGTCGTAACTCAGGTACATCTGCAACTCCGAGACGTCGCTTTGCGTTCTCCTGATTGATGAATCACCTGAAAACCTTGAAATCAAGTTAGTAGCTTGTGAAAATAAATGTTTGGCCTTCTTACTTACGTTTTTGGATGGTTGGGAAGGCCCTGAGCGAGGAACGGTGCCATATTTGGCTTCATAGACTCTATATAAAGCAAAAAACTGATCCTTCACATTAGTCTTATAGTTTTCTACATCATCGTCAAGAAACATGCATTGAAAGTAAATGTCAACTAACATAAATGTGTTTTCATACTTTTGCCTAGGATCTAATATGGAAGCAAAAATATAAATCAAAGGAATCTTACTATAATATTTACGCCACTTTTTTTCCATTGCTGGAAGATACTGATCATAATCACTTTGATGGCGATGATCAGCGAAAAGTTGGGCGAGTAAGCATGCATTAGAAAGAAAGTTTTGAGCACAAGGATTGTAAACAGTAGAAAAACAATACGTCATGTTATATAATAACTGTAAAAATTGCATATATCTTTCACAGTTATTCCAATCATCATCATACAAAGCATTTTGTGGAAATTTTTGGTTGTAAAATAATGTTAACGGGCCCTTGTACTCAATTGCCTTTGTTAACATGTCATAGGTGGAATTCCACCTAGTTGGGCAATCGGTTCTAATTTTTATTACCCTTATCTTTTGTTGTTTTAGAAAACTCTTCCATTCTTGGTATCTCATGTTAGAGCTATTAATAGACATAATAGCATCTCTGATTTTGCTGTAGTATGGGCCAATTGCCCGAACTCCATCCTGTACACATAAGTTAAGTACATGGCAAACACATCTAGTATGAAGAGCTTCACCGTCTAATAGTACATCGGTTAAGTTTTGTTTGATAAGATTAGTTGTGTATGTCATAGAGGTTGCATTATCAAAAGTCATAGACATCATTTTATCTCGAAGGTTGTATTCGTCTATTGCTTGCATTAAATGGTGAGCAATGTTAATGCCGGTGTGTGGGTATTCCAGCATTTTGAAGTGCATTATTCTTTTTTGTAACATCCATTGATCATCTACCCAATGGCAAGTCACACATAAATAGTGATATTTATAACCACTATCCCAAGAATCGGCTGTTAAAGATACTCTACAGTTAAGGTTACTCAATTCGGCTTGTAACCGGACTTTGTACTCTAGGAAATTTTTCATTGCGGCGGAACGAACGGTTTTCCTAGAGATTCTTTTATGTTGGGGTTGTAGTGCTTTGTTAATGTAGGTGTTGAATGCGTCACTTTCCGAGAAAAGAAAAGGTTGTTCGGCGTGTACTATCATTTTTCCTAGTTCATCCCTATCCCTCTCATAGTTGTATGTAAAGCCGTATGGATGGAATTGGGAAATTTTGGGCTGGGTTGGATCACTAGCTGGTTTTGCACAAGCTTTCATGTGTCTAGATAAGTGTCCCGTCCCGTTTTTGGTAACTGCCGTGAATACACTATTACATGTTTTACATTTTGCCCATTGTTCACCATCTTTACTTAGGACAAAATAACGCCATACCTCACTCCTTCGGTTTTTCAAAAGTAGCATCTCAGTTTCGGTTAACCATTCATGATGTGTGTGATGGTTAGTAGTGGGACTAGTGGGAGTGGCAGTAGAAGGGGTAGAACCGGAGGGAATTCGGGTACTTTCTTGGCTACCTTGGCTAGAACAATAGTTTTGTTGATCACCGATATAATTAGGTGGAAATTGGTATGGTGGTAGTGGAAATTGGTTTAGTGGTGGTGCTGGAAATCCCGACGTATTATATGGCTCATAGCCCGGGGGGAAGTAAATGGGGTCATTGGTTTGACTCGTAATTTGGGGGCTCGTTGTATTTGGTGGTTCCCTAGAACTACTACTACGGATAAGTCGGCCTTTCCCCTAGACCTAGATGATGGGTTGTTCGATGCCATAATTAACAATTAATTTTTTAATAAAAAGTGGTTAACTATAATAATAATAATTAATAACAACAATTTTAACAATAAAAATTTCAATAATAATAATTAATAACAACAACTATAACAATAACAATAACAACAAAAATAAATAATAACAACAATTGTAACAATAATAATAATTAATAACAACAATTATAACAACAACAATAACAATTAACAACAATAATAATTAAACAAGATTATTCTAATAATAACAATAAAACAATAATAAATTTAAGATTAGTTTAGATCTTACAACCGTGCTTCAACGCTCCACTAATTATGATTACGAACTTTTTAATTTTTTCCGATATTAGGAAAATAATTAGAGAATTTAAGAGAATAATTAGAGAATTTAAGAAAATAAGGATTATTAGAGATTTAGAGAATATAAGAGATAAGAAGAAGAGATTGTGATTTTGTGATTTGGGAATGAAATGGAGGTGAGTATTTATAGAATTTTTGGGGAGCAAATTGGCAAAAAACTAGCCGTTTTTTAGCCGTTTTTTTGGCTTATTAAGGAGCTAGAATAAACGGTAACATTACCGTTGGCCCGCGGGCCGTGCCTATGGGCCGGCACGACGGGCCAGCACGGCGGGCCATGGCCGTGCTCGTGCCGGGCCGTGCCTGGGAATTCTCAACCCTGTCCGTGATACGGCCCGTGGCACGGGAGTTGAACTTCATGCCGTGCCGTGCTTGAATTCGGGCCGTGCCGGGCTGCGCCGAACGGCGGGCCGTGCCGAACAGCGGGTCGTGCCGGGCGGCACGCGGGCCAACCCGGCC